TGTAGCAAGATGCAGCAGGATAATAAGCCCTTTGGCGCAAATGGCGCAGCAATCACATCAATCAACCTTTTTAATTGATTGCCGGCTTAGATATTAACAATTGGCTATACATATTGTTTGATATTTTATAGCTACGCATTAGGTATTATGTACTGTATATTATTTTCCCAGATATCTAGCGTGTCGGATCAAAAATGTTTAGATGACAGCGTTAAAATTTTTTCATGGTGTCAGAAGTGGCAAATGAATTTGAATGTTAAGAAGTGTGTGCAAATAAATGTCTATAACGCTGAAAAAGGTTCCCCTTTTCTTTTCCGATACCATTGACTCAAACGCTTTAGAAGTAGCTAATGAGTATAACTACCTAGGTGTTACAATCACGTCAAACTTAAGTTGGGCTCATCACATTGGGCAGGTTATTGCAAAAGCATCCAGTAAATTGTGGTCGTTACGAAGGACTATGACCTACTGTACTTCTGAGACGAAGCTCACGGCGTATAAATCTCTAATCCGGCCTCTGCTGGAATATGCTGATATATTAGGGACCCTTATTCACAACCGCATATTGATCAGTTTGAAAGCATTAAAAAAATCTTAGATTCATTTATAATTCGTACGGCAAAGATTCACATGTGACACCGTTGTATGCAGCATCCGGTCTAACCGAGTTATCACGTAGAAGGAAATTAAAACGTTTGAAATTTTTGCATAACGTAATATATGATAAAGTTGCTTTGAAGTTTGATAAGTATCTGCAGTATAATGATAGCCGTGATACAAGGCAGAAACATGAAAAACTACTCCGTGAGTTCCGTTGCAAGAAAGATGTTTTTAAACATTCATTTTTTCCTCGAACCGTATGTGAGAGGAATGCGTTGCCCCACAGCGTGACAGCTATTGTTTCTGTTGCTTGTGCAATCGATTATCTTTTCTTTGTTGCCAATGAATAAGTTACCTGTTTGTTTTATTTCCATGCCTGTATGTACGCGAACTAGCATTCCCTGACGTTATCTTACCACCACCATGCCTTGGCCCTCAAAAGTTGGCCGGCAGTATTCTCAAATAAAAAATGTTTCATGGCATGGGGCTTAGCCCGTAGGTTTGTCTCACTATCCTTACTTACAGCACACTTGCTCTGGGACGTAAGCAAGATCGATGTAACACTACTTTTTTTTTTTTATCAATAGCTTAATTAATATATAAATGTGATGCAATTTATCCCAACTATCCAACTCACCCCCTCCCCTTTTTCCTGAAAAAAAAAAGAAAAAAAGTGATGAACTAATGGGTTGTACAGGTTGCGGCCGTAAGGACATACACATTTGGCACGCCTTCCAAAATTCGACTAAATAGCCTGTTTAGAGCATGCGCACTGGCTTCTGAGCTCGCTACCGGGTGGCTTGCTGAACGCAAAAAAGGCTACGAACCACTATTAGAGGCTGGCGATGAGCGAGACAATCACGATAGTTAATACTTTTAACGAAATGTACGAACAATGACCACCTGGGAACATGCTTACCAACCAGTGTGCAGACTACGAACATTCGGTATAGGGCATAGGAAATGCACGGCCGCCGTTAGTCTATTATGCTATGGTCTGTGATTAGAGACAACCAAGTGAACCAAAAGGCGAAAATTTTGGTGTCCCCCGCCCCGAAAAAAAATACCTACGTTTTTTGTTGTTTTTTTCATCACGAAAATAAACTACGCATCGCCGAACGCTTATTCTCCATCCGACATGTAGCGCTAGAGGTCCGAACCAGATGCCGAAGTTTCAGCACTAACTGTTATCTTATTCAAAAGTTATAAATGATTTTCTGCAACTTTCGCTGGGAAAATGGCGGCCGACCGAGCTCTCGAAACGGACGAAAACGGGCCCGATAACGGTTAGTGCTGAAAGTTTGGCACCTGGTTCGGACCTCTAGCGCTACATTTGGGCAGGGAATGAGCGTTGGGCAAAGCGTAATTAATTTTTGCAAAAAAAAAAAAAAAAAAACATTTTTTTTTTCTTTTTCTATTTTTTTTTTTTTTTGGGGGGGGGGGGGGGGGGGAGGGGGGACGGTCATGCTAAAGCGCATTTTTATGGCATCTTGAAATCTTGAGGTCACCTAAAGCCACTCGGTAAGCAGTTCCCAGCAGAGCGGGAACCAGAATCGAGCGGCTGTGCGAGTGTTTTTTAAATGCTAGCGATGTTTTAGACAGGGTGTCGAACCGTAAGGTCAGTAATCGTAACTGAACCGCTTATCTTGCCCGAACGTGAACAGAACCCGAACCGATACGTTCGGCGCCATTTTGGAGCTGAATCTGAACCGGAGCAAAACAAAACTGTTTCGAACCGCTTCGCCAAACGGTTCGGACGGGCATCCGCGCTACCATTCCTTGCACTGTGCGCCGAAACATTTGAGACTTAGCGCTGCGGAGCAAGGTGTTTCCACTTATGCAAATATTTCTGTAAGCATATTTCACAAAGACGAAGGCCAATAACCGCTGTTACTAGCTGTCAAAAAATTGGCCTGTCCCGCCCAAAGTCATCGCGTCCACGCGCCCGGCAAAAATCCGCCGCCACGCGCTGACGGGATGACGCACTGAGCCGCTGTGGCGCAGCATCAAATTCGGGTTTACTAGGTTGATCGAACGCCATTTTATCGAAGCACGTTTTAGAGAACGGGCTCGTTTTATCGAAGTTTGGTTTAGAGAAAGTGGAGCCTCATTTTAGAGAAATGCCGTTTATCGAAAAGGGGACGTTGCTTAACAAAAGGCTCCCATACTTCGCACGTATTCGTGCGCGTATCACTTAACGCCGTTCTGCGGCAACAGCTGCGGCGGCTCATTACAAAAAATGTTAACCCACCTGGCCCACCCGTACACGCCGCTTGGCGGCGGCCGAATACGCTAAATGGAGTCGCATCGCCATCTTCTCGATGAACTGGGGTCGGTAAAACAGCGTTCGCTAAAACAAGCTTCTTTAAACCGCATGCCTCCGATCAAAAAATTCACCCATACCCGGCGGGGAAAGACCTGGAAAATTCTACAAGTTTCCCCACGCGGCACCTCCGCGAGAGGGGAGAGGGCGCGAAACGCAAATCAATGAAGGCCAAAAAAAGAAAAGAAAGAGTTACACATAGCGTAGATCCGACCCCGGCAGAGCCACCGTGACGCCCAGAGGAAGACAGGGAACGTTCTAGAGTTCCAGCATGGAAAACCCCAGGCCTTTCACGAATGTTCGCATGCCTTCCGCGTGCTTCGTCTCCACTGTGGCGAGAAGGAAACCGTTGCCGACGAAACCCTGCGTTGGCGCGGGGCTTCAGCCTCCTCCCCGCCGCCAAATTGGTAAGGTGCCCCGACATAGTAGATGATGTCCTTTTCCTCGGGTCGTTTCACGCAGTCAAGGGAGAGCGCACACATCAGTAAAATTAATATTGCCTATGCATCTAACAGTTTTGGAGAGGTACTCGTCCATTTTTCCAGTAGACATATTCAATTTTGTATTTGGTGAACACACAAAAACAATAAATGAGCACTGCATTAAGAGCAAATAATCGATTAAACTTTTCACTTTTCCTTGAACATTATATGAACCGGTTTAAGCCGGTTCGAACCGTCATTTTTTTCCACTCCGGAGCTGAACCTGAACCCTACCGAACTACTTGAACCGTAACCTGAACAGAACCGAAAAGAGCTTCGGTTCGGCACCCTGGTTTTAGAACACCGAAGCAGCAGATAACACTAGGGGTGTCGCGAACCGGCCGCGGTTCGAGTTCGACCAGGTTCGACTTTTTCGACCTTTTAGTGAAAAGTTCGGCGAACCTTGTAATGAGGTTCGACTCGTGTGCGCATGCGCGACAGGCAGGCCAGTTGGCTTGGGATTGGATGGTGATGGCTAAGGGATGAATCAAGGGCAGCGCTGATTGGCTCTTTCAGTTAATTCAGTACAAAAAAATTGTTATTAACGTCTTCAGTGATAAGAATTGATTTCTTTTCATTGCAACTGTTCATAAAATAAAATAACCCATTGCATACAAAAAAAATTCTCCAAACCTAGACATGCTTGCTTCAAGGTCTGGCCACAGTGTCCACAAGTTCGAACCGGTCGAATCTGGTCAAAAGTTCGAAGGTTCGTCGAACCGGTTCGACCCAGTCGAGCCCCGAAAGGTCGACCTAAAAATCAGGTTCGACAAAAGTTCGCGACACCCCTAGATAACACCTTTCGCGCTGCCGAGGGAGCCGGGAGCCGCACGACGGCGCATATCGTCGAGGCTCCTGCAGGTGCGGCGGTCGCTGCCCGCAGGACTTGGAGGACAAGAATTGGGTACCATTGAGATATACTGCTCCGCAAGCGGAGCATGTAGTTCCTCTAGCTGGGGAATGCCGTTAGTACCACCCCCGAATTAGAGCTCCGCAAACATAACCGTTCCTTCTGCGAGAGATTTGAATAGACAAACATTTTTTTCCCCTAAATTTTAGTGCGTACAGTACCTTGAAACTTCAGGAAGCAAAATATATCACTAAAACACACCTTTGAGGAAAAAAAAATTAACTCGCTAGGTGGGGCTTTTTACAGCAATGTGCAAGATTTGTAGGCTTTCTAATCCCAAATAGTCATTGTAATCACGGTTTGTTGAGGTTATGATCAAATGAAATGTTTGGGTTCAGGAAAATTAAGTGGCATTGCAATTACAAAGAAATGATTCTATCTCCTTACCGTTTGCTAGCAATCCATCCCCACAATTGCTCGTTTTGACTTGCAACATGACCAATTGCAAGATATAGAAACATGCATCAAAAGGGACCGCACCATTTTTCCAAGTAGTACAGTGCAAATGACGTAGCACTACCACATATAACGATGTACTATTTATAACAATCAGTTCTAGACTACAACACTCAATTTTAGTCCAGATACATTAATCGGTTATAAGGATTAAATTTTCGGGTTTTCTCATTATGGCTATAAGTGGATTGCACTGTACCTCTCTCCAATCAGAAGAGTGAATTCGGAGTTGGCGTAAGAAAACTTTATTACCTCCAGATCAATTTTACAAACACTTGCATTTTTAAGAAAGGAATGTCAGGTGTAAGTCATAGACAGGTGATGGTTGTCCTTATAAAAGTTGTGCAATCACAATCACGAAGGCCAGCCTTCGGGAGTCAACGCGTGTGGAAGAGTTAAGCTCGTCCAGTCTCCTTACAGAAAGGCACTTGAGCTCTGAATGAGAAATGGTTTGTGGTGTAGGCTGCCAACAGCCCGTGGGGAAAGGGAAGTGTAAAAAATGGTAACAAAAGCACCATACAACACAAGCACGGAATGTAGATGTCATTGACCCCTTGCAAATCACGTCCGAGAGTGCAGACAAATTGCACCCTCCATTTTTGAAATCAAGGCCTTACAGTTAAAAAAGTCAGTGCAGCAACAAGCTGTCGTGTCACCTATGAACAAAATCATATACAAAAATGAGTAACAGTCGGCATCAATTAAAAAAAAAAAAAAGGCCAGAAGAAACAATTTGCATTGTTGCACGCACACAACACACCCTGGCAAGGGCCTGTCGAATGTATAAAAATAGATGGTATACATGTATACATATGTATATAATATATCTTTCCCTAAAACAGTCGACAAGTTACAAAAAAAAAACACGTCTCGACGGAAACTAATTAAACTCGTGCAACTGGACGTCCGGTTCTCCCTTGGATGGGTGCACGTCGTGCAAGGGTAGTCTGGGGCACGTCGACAGCATGCAATTTGGTTATTTGCCCCCTCCACCGCCGTCCGGCTCTGCCATCGGACAGAGTGGGACTCGTCAAGGTGAAGCTCGAGCCAATGCCCTGGAACGGAACAGGCGGGACCCCCTAGTCGGAGGCAAGGCCTGGGGGAAGCGATCCCTGGGAAAATAGAGCTACGTCCATACGGCCACCCTCGCTGGGGGCGCCGAGTCAAAGGGTGATGACGCCGTCGTGTGCACTATGCGGCGGCGTTTCGTCGAGCCCCTCGAAACCCGCCGTGTGGTCCCTGATCTCGTCTTCGTCGAGGCGGTCGTCGTCAGAGACTACGGACGGATTCGAGTTGTGTGAGCCGTGAGACATCTGTGAAGAGCGACCGAAGGAGCCCCGCCGAGGCAGAGTCCCCACACTGCACTGATTTGCTGGCCGGATCGTGATTATAAGGTTGGAAGAGTTGGCCACCATCATGTCGGTCACCTGCACAAACAAGGCGCTACTGACGAGGCTGCTTGTGACTGCCGGCCTCGGAGGAGCGACGAACACAAACTCCTCTACACCAGAAGAAAGCAATGTTTTTTTAAGGACAAATGCTGCATACACTTTAGGGCAACGTCGGCTGGAACTACCCAGTGACAACTGAGAGACACCAGTGGTCGTACCCCGAGACGAGAAGTTGACTATAGCTGCAAAGAAGAGCAAGTGAACAAAATCACGGCACCAGCGTGACTTGGCACATTCTTTTACACTGTTCTGAGGTGCACTTCAACACACCTTGCAACCACATTCTTCGCTACCACCTACCTCTGCTTGGTGCTGTCTTCATCATATCTGAGCATGTAATATCGGCGCCAGCTAAAGCTTTCTTTGCACCATCAGCCCTAGTTAAATAGCAGTAGCACCATACTCTTCGTCCACACGCCCCTTCTTGCATGTTCGCGCCTCCAGCTCGTTGCTCGCCCTCCCGCAGCGAAAACGGAAAGCACTATAGTGAGCGTCTTCCGGTTCTCCTGTGCAGCTGGCACGGCTGAACTGGTTGCGATCATGGCTAGTGAAGTCATTTCTGCATGCAAACAGTACTCTTCACTGACCCGATGGAGTGCTGCAGCCGGCATGTGACTACTTTACTAGAGTTTTAATACTGCATACAGAAGCAAACCCAAGTGCTGTGCTTTTGTGTTAGAGGTGCGTGCTCCAGGCTGCACAAGCGCGTCGTTGCCATGCAGCAATCCAAGACCGCAACTTTGGGCTCCGCGCACATGAAACGTGGAGCACCCAACGCTAACGCAAACACAAAGTGCTTGCTTTCGTTTGTGTACGCAATACTAAAATATCCTACTGTTTCACTGGTTTTCCAACGGTGCTTCCTCGAGCTGGAAAGGCTGAGATTGGCAAAACGGTGGCACATAAAAACAAAATAAAACAAGTGTTCTGGGTAGTTTTGTAATTACTACAACAGAACCAGTTCTTTTTTTTTTTTTTTTATCTTGGGACATTTGATTTGGAAGGATTGGCGGCAAGTTTGGAAGCTTTTCTGATTGCCAAAAGTCGCGACTTTGACATTACCATATGCTTTACCCACAACTTATGTCATTTTACATGAATTTCTTAGACTAGCTAGAATGTCTAGACTATTTTCATTTTATACCTTGTTAATTAAGAATGCTGCAACTGGCACCAGTGATGGTAATTTGCCAACTTTGGATTGCCATAGTTGTTCACATGTTTGAAATTGGATAATATGCAATAAATTATATTAGAGTTTGAAAACCTATGTAGTATTACTATAGCTGAATTATATTATTATTAATACAAATTACTGCAATTCTGGGGCAAAACAAAACAAAAAAACAAAACACTACAATCCCAAAAACACGCTATTTAACCATAATAGTCTTTACAAAAAGGTCTCATTTTGATTTCTTTTTAGCACATGAAAAACTGACATCGTTATTGAGATATACATAAACACTTGATGTATTGTAAAGTCGTATGCATCACGCGTTGCCTTAGAAAAGCACACACTTCAGTTGTCTGACTGATTTTGTTTTAGGGCTTTTGTAGTGAGAACAGCATTTCTCAATTTATATGTTTCGAGAACATATTATAGACTAAGCACCCATAGCGATATTTTGTAAAATTTTGATTGATTCTTTAATCATCTAAATGCCCCCAAAACCCAATAAAGGGCCTGCAGGTCATTATTTCAGATGACCTTTATCTGAATAAAAAAAGAGGCTCCAAGAAAACAAATACCAGCGCCGATTTTTTGAACACAATATTTTACCACCTCTAAGGTGCAAGGAAGAACCTGTCTGTAAAGGAGCTGCCCAACAATTTTAATGTTGAAAGAATTAGCATCTTCTACTTTTGACAGTGTTTATCTTGTTACAAAGGACAAAAAACATATCCTTCCTTCGATGTGATGCAATTCTGCCGTGCAATCGCGAGGCAAAAGTTTGAATATTTCCCGACCTGCAGCCGTGAGCGGCGGCCATGAGAACCACACGGCACGACGTCAATGGGGGACTTGTAAAAAGATAGGAAGTTGTGCAAATACCTGCTCAATATAAGGTAATTTATCGATAAATCTTGTTGATCCAACATAAATACAAATGCGTCAAAAACCTGGTATTATCGACAAAATTTTTATTATACGGAGTTTTAGTGGCGCCATCTATCCGAGGACAACAAAACTGTCAGCTCTATCTGCTACTAAGAAACGGCGGCCAGAAACCGGAGGGGGACGGGGGAAGAGCCAGACAGGGATGGCCGGACCAAGACGACGCGACTTTCCTCCTTTCGCCATGTTGATCATGCTGCGAAAGCATGTGGTCACATGGTCGCGAGCGGGTGAGTTCTCGCTGCTCACTGATGGCTCTAGAGAGAGCTTCACTGGAACCCCGCGTGTCCCCCATTCACGTCACAGTGCACGTGACTCGGAAGATGGCGAAGGAGGTGAGAGGTGCCGAAAAACTCAATATTTGTCATTTTTTCAAATAAAAATAGGACATGCAGGCAAAAGTGGTCTTTTGTTCTTTCTTTCAGAAAGGTTGAAATACCAACTCCCAAATTGCTTAAGCAGAGCACTGAAATTGTTACACAGCTCCTTTAAAGGGACACTGAACTCTCCAAAATATTTGTAAGGTCCTGGGTCGGACATGCATATCACAAAATGAAGTTTCCGCAAAGAATTTCTTCAGCATGATAATTACGCTGTGAGGCACGTTTTGAGGGAGGAGAGAAACCAAAATGAACACCTATATCAAAAAATTAAATCCGTAATAAAAGTTTGTTTCGGTTTTATTCCTGAATTAAAATGTGCCTCCCGGCATAAATATTACGCTAAACACCGTTTGTTTTCAGAATAAAGAGGTGACCTATGCGCATAACACTCTAGGTTCCTTGTATAAGCGGGAATAATTTGTGTCGCTCAGTGAAGCCAGCACACTAGACAGGGCTCAGCAACTGGTATACAAGCACGCATTTCCGACACTCGCTGTAACCGCCATCTTGAAAAACGAGTGGCGCCCGCCTATACACCTTTGCAAGAAACACTCGACCCCAGGGGCAGCATACCATTTTCGAGCCCAGTCACTAGGTTTGAGGCTAGACTCTCACCGGCGTCCCTACTAACTCTAACCAAGTGGACTGTGATTTCGATAGGTGCAGCCTGCGTAGGCGCAGTTTCAAACACTGCTGGCGGCTAAATTCTCTTCTTTTCCGCTGTATTGTGTTTCATGGTGCATGTATTTTCCCGAGGTCACTGAGAAAGCATTGTACCACATTTGAAAAAAAGCAATAAAAAACCTATAAAAGATTTTTGTTGGGTATGCGCGCAACAGAACGAACGCGACTGGAATGTTGTCGTTTTCTTCTCCTTTTTTACGATGAGTTTTGACGCCACCGCCTGATTAGCCGCGCGTCAAACGACGAAGCGCTTAGCTGTCGAAAATAATTTATAACAGAAGATAGCCGAAAGGCATGCAGTTTTCATGTTCACAAATAACGTGTTTACTGATGAACAGGACACAGACATACAATTTAGCGAGTGTTAACATTCAAACAATATATTGTATGCACCACATGATGCAGCGTTATCTGAAAATAATTTATTTGAGAAAGGTCTAGAATAACGCAGTCACAGCGGACGACAGTCACATCTTTACGATTGAACAAAATCCAAGACGGCTTCGTTTTGTCACACGTTTTAGGAAGAGCTTCCTTTTTTCACAATATCATCAAAGAAAAGGAACGAACGCGACTGACCGGTTTCAAACCCCAACCCAGACAACTATTTTTGGAGATGACAGGATTCTACGCGGATTATCTCTGGGAGAGGGGAGAACAATGTTCGCAAAGTCGCGTCGAGGGCCGTTCAACATCCTTCACCTTCTACGTTTCCCGTGAATGTCGAGCAGAAAAGCTTGACTCGCATGCACTTACCAGCCTTATTTCTCATTATGGAAGAAACACAAAAAGGGTATGCAGCACGCATAAAAAATATTTAAGTGGAAACTTTCAAGAGGGGCTACAAAATGTTGAATGCAAAACCACAGAAACGTAGGTAGAGAACTGCGCTGAGCAGGTGTTCACAGTCCAAGAGAGTGGCAGAAAATTTTTTCGGTGATAGAGGGCGCGAGGGTCTCACCAGCCGCATCAGCATCAGCAACATGGCGGCGGCCTAGGAGCGTTTTTTGGAAACGTGTATAGACAGTGGGATTTGTGAATAGCTCAACTTCTCGTCTCGGGGGCGGGACAAGCAGCATCTCGGCGATTTCAGCTCATGCCATTTGGGCGTGTTCTACGACAGGGTTTGTACAGGCTTTAAAGAAAAAACATTCAAGGGTTTTTAAGGACTTTTAAAGGACACATGCAAAGGAAAAAAAACATTTTTTTAAACAGCTTAGATGGAAAAAGGATGTCATAAATCAATATTACAAAGAAGAAAAATATTTTTTTAGAGCTATATTTACGGCGCTATACGAATTTGTAGTTGGCGCCCGCCGCCGCAACGGAAAAGTGGCCCTGTCTGACTGGCGCACAGGTCTATCACGTCTGCTTGCCCTTTTTCAGGAGTTTCCTTTGGGCTCTAAAAGTTGTCTATTATTCTTAGTTTTTTGTTATACTTCAAAACAAAGATGAATAAGTTACTTTTGCGTGGAGAAACGTGTTGAAGCGGTGTTTGCACAACGCTCAGCGTGCGGCAGCAGAGTGACTTCGCGGCGGTGGCGGCGCAGCGCGGCGGCGTGCGGGCCTATCACGTGACCAGCGGCGGCTCCCTACAGAGTCGTAAAGCGCCGTAAATATAGCTCTAAAAATTTTTTTTCTTCGTTGTAAAATTGTTTTATGACATCCTTTTTCCATCTAAGCTGTTTAAAAAAAAATGTTTTTTTCCTTTGCATGTGTCCTTTAAGGGCCTGTAAAGATATTTTCAAGGACCCCTTAAAATACTATATCTAGTAAATTTATAATACAGTAAAACCTCGTTATAAAGAAGCTGAGGGAGCGGTCGTAATTACTTTGTTATAACCATTAGTTTGTTATAGCCAATGTCCATTTCTTCCAACTATTCAAGCAAGGGGAATTATGATTGCTTTGTTATATCCATTTGTTTGTTATATCCCATTTTGTTATAACGAGGTTTTACTGTATAACAACTTTTTGAAATGCACTGCAAAAATTCCCTATAGCATGATACCTAGGAAAAGGAGCATTTGCCAAAGAAGTTCTAGTAAAGGGTTCAGTAGAGCTACTGCAGCTTTCCCTTGATTTCCTGGTTGATGTTTAGAAGTTCTTGCATCTTTGTTTTTGCTGTTCTCCTTAGGCTGTTCGACTTGACAAAGTCAAGTAGAATAGTTTAAGGAAAACGGCAAGAATGTAGGTGATGTCGTTTGTTGCCTATGCTTCTCGGTGTCTGTAATCGTGACCCTGAAAGTTGCACTTCTCGGGCATCGCGCACAATTTAAACTACGTTCACCATGTGTAGTGTAAAACAGATGCTGAAGAAACAAGCCAGGAGTAGCTAGGAAACAGCATGCGAGAAAACAAGGCGAACAGGGGCAGTATCGCAAGATGGCGGAGGGGAAGGACCAGATCCGGAACCACCGGGTCAGCTACCATTGTAACCAGGCACTTAAAAGGCATCTGCTAAATGTCTCTAAATGGGCCAAATAAAAAAGTTTCTTGTTGAAAATTAGACATAAAAAAAAAAAAATTATATTTTAATATCTTAAAAAACATTTATCAAAAAAAAAAAAAAAAAGGTTGTTATTGGCAAATTTTAGGGTTTTGAAGTACTGTTAGAAATTCCAGGGCTTAATGGTCTGAAAAATTCTGTTTAAATTCAAGGATTTTAAGGTTTTTTTTAAATACCCGTGCAAACCCTCTACGAACTCCCGCTTGGCACAAGTCGGCACAGATGTTCCACAGTGAGAGAAGCTCAAAGCAGGCACGTACCTGGTCGAGGGTCTTGCCCACCACCTCGATGCCATTCACCTCGAGGACCTCGTCGTTGACAGCAAGCAAGCCCGTGCCCTCCGCCAGGCCCCCCGGTACCAGGCGTGAGATGAAGATGCCGGGCACCCGGTCGAGGCCGTGGGGCGTCACGCGCACACTCGTGCCGTCGCGAATGTAGAAGCCCAGCGGCTTGTCTGAGCCGTGCTTCACCAGGCGGACCCGACGGCACGTGTCCGGCACCACGTCTACATCGATGATGGACGACACCTGCCGAAAGTCCTCGGGCAGAGAGATAGACAGCACCGGCTTGGCCGACCGCACTCCCGACGGCAACAGGTACTGGCCCAGAAAGCGCTTCTTGCGTCCGCCCCCCTGGGCGCCATAGCCGTTCAACTCCTCCCGGCTGTCCCCTGGGCAACGACGGTGGCCACAGTTGGCACACAGAAACCATGTTTGCCCTTCTCGTCCAACTATCAATGAACACATAAGGGCCGTCATTTGAGGTTTGAAATTTTAACTTCTTTATAAGATCTTTGTGCAGCTTCCTTATGGCTAAATGCTACCCCTTGTGCATTGTTTCCGATTATTCCCCAAAATAAGTTTGCAAATGATGCACACTTTCTTGTACAACTTAGATGATGGCAAGAGATGAACATTGGTTCGACTGAATATCACATTTCACCGAGACAACAGATTACACAATTGCTAATATTTTGTCAGATCCTGGGTATTAAGGAAGAACACAGACAGTGGCTTTTAAAATACTTGCCAGTCTTATAATACAATTCATTAATTCTAAAATTGAAGGGCTGGGTTTTTTTTAACTGTCGTTTCAAGGCTCAAACATAACCTACTTTATGAAGTGTAAAAATCCCGATTTCCAAATGCTAAATCAAAATCTTACAGCCGTTCCCTTCTTGGTACTAAGGAAAACAATATTAATGATTGCACATTTCACATAGAAGCGGGATGTTCATGCAAATAATTTACAAGTTTTAGACTATAAAAAAAGGAAGATAAAGTTAGAGCCACAAAACAACAAAATCATTTTACGCACCTTTAAAAAAAATTCCGATAAAAAAAAAAAAATATATTTCCCAGTTTTAGTTTTTCTGGCCTCATTTGTCGCTAAGCACGTTATTTCCAAAGTATTTTAGCATTCAGAAATATGTGTTGCCGGCACTATCATGAAATGCACGTGGTCGCTATGAGAACCAAGTAGTCACTTAAAGGGTACTGAATCGCAACTTCAAATACACACAAAACACCAAGAATTAGTCCAATAGGATCAGCTAGACCTGTAATGTAATTGATAATTGCAAGGTTGCATTTTAAGCAGATGGCTACATTTTTCGTTCTAAATAATCAGAGTTTGGCGAGCGCTTCAAAATCAGATATTGAAGAGAGTGATGCATCTCAAGAGATCCGGCACGGCCTTGATGTCATCATGCCATGAAGGGTCAAGAATACCATAGTTACAAGCTTTGCCACTTGGAGGCATCAACTCGTTACAATCTTGTATAGTCTAAGCACCTGAGGGCTGTACCATATTGCAGAGCCGGAGGAGCTGCCTCAAGTGTGCGATGGCCGACCAACGTGACGAGAGCAGTGGGTATGACGACATTAACGAGGCTGAAGACACCGCTACATTACCAGGGGCCACGGTGGCCGAGAAGCGAATTAGGCCCAGAGTCGTATTTGTATAACCTGTCTGCCTGGTCTTTACCGTCCGCAACAGGTAACAGAGCTTATTAACGAAACAATCTTATGACAAAACCTAAGAAGAAATCCGGATTCATGAAGCAAAATTATTGCAAGTTTTTCGTCAGCTATGATGAAATCCTATGACCATGCCTATGACAGCTCCAGAGGTTTACATACTTTTCATGATGTTCAAATCCACACCACCGGCAACATCGCTCGCTTATGTCGTTCAACGACCAACATGCATTTCTACGTGCTCTCTGTGCACGTCCCGACTTCGACCAACAAGAGAAAAGTACTTGAAACTGGACGCCGCGGCAGAGACAACCGCCGGAACCATGGATACCCGAAAAAGCTACAATGACAATGTTCCTACCAACCAAGCGACCGTTAGGCCTCGCAAGGCACTCCGACGCAATGTTGCTCCGAAGACCCGGGGCAAGACACTCTGCACACGACCGGCTGGCTTGCTGAATGGAATAAGCCCATGCGACCTTTGTGGACCCTTCCCGTATGTATAGTTTGATCCCTTGACCTCTATTTTGGGGTAAAAAGTCCAGTCTTTCCCCTTGTCGTCCCTTTTTTTCAGATGCAGCGGTGGCAAATGCTCTCGTCGAAAAGGGTCACTCTCCTAGATTCTATCTCCTTTTCTGTGTAATTGAGCTAAAAAAAATGCCATATGGATTGCCTTTGCAACATGGGTATGTACACTTTTTTTAGAATGTATGTCCATTTTATTCCTGTTATGACAGTATGCTAACACATGTTGAGTTAGAGCAGTAGTTGGGAGCTACTCAATGCCGGTCCAATTTTTCTCTTCTGAACGTCAAGTCAGCATTGAGTTGAAAATTGTCTAGTGGCTTAGCGATTCATAAAATTGGTTATAGAAGATTGTTCCCGAAGCGGTTACCAAGAACGCGGTGCCAGTGCGGTTCTGCTCCTAGCGTGAACAGGTATTTACGTGGATCTTGCTGACACCCTTTTACTTCAAACGTATCTTCCTGGACATCGGGTCCCTCCCGGATCCCCAATGCCACCAATAATGCCGCAGCGATTCTGTTTACATGTGCGTCACTTTGCAGAGCTGTGCGGGCCGTCTCCTTTTAGCTATGATAGTAGTTGTGTTGGCTTCATAGCAATAGAGTTCATTGCTGTCGACCAAGGCGGCTATTCCATCATCAGGAGAGGAGGGCATTCGGGCCCGTTTAAAGACATTTTATACGCCTCGCAAGTGGGCTCATTTTCGTCTTCTGCGCATGAGAAAGGAAGTAGCGGTGACGTGAGAACGCCGAGCCCTGATTGGCTGATCGCGACCCCCTATCTGAGCGTCGTCTGCTCCCTTGCGACGTCGTCTGCTCGCAACGTCGTCTGCGTCTGTCTTACGTTTCCTGCGAATTTCGGGAGTGCAGGTCTTCACGAGCGAGCTCGACTTCGCCTTTCAGAGACGGCAGACGAAATAACTCGAGCGGTACGTTGTTTTTGTCTAACAACTAGCAGACGCGCATCAAGAGGGAGGTCAAACGACTCACTGGCGAGGTGTCCCGAGGAGCTGAGGTTTGTTTGCTAAGAGCCGAGAGGTGGGCGTGTTAGTGTCCGCAAGTTCCCTCCCAAATACTTTTTCCCTCCTTTCGTGTGCGGCGAGACCCCTCATTCTTTAATGGCGTCGGCGGGTTGGCGCAGTTAACGTCGTATGCTTTACGTCTGCTAGTCAAAGCGATGGCTGCTTTACCTTTCCCGCGTCTGTCGCAGATTCACCGCTTTTTCACCGGCGAGAGTCACCGTTGCCTCGGGAAACAAGGAGATAAAAAGAGGAAGAAAGTGACCTCTTAATCTAAATTTGAGGTCAGTGATCAAAGTATAATACGGGAAGGTTTCACAAGGGTCGCGCGGGCATATTCCATTCAGCACGCCAGCGGGTTGTGGGCAGGCGGCCGCCGAGTCGCGGACTGCCTGCTAGGCCTAACTGCCGTACTCGCTTGGTGTGTTCGGTGTAATCGTGGCCGTTGGAGCTTTTCCCGGATGTTTGTGCATCCTGCGTTCTTGTTCGTCGGAATCTGTTTCAAGTACTTTTTACTTTTTCTTGCTGCTTGGAGTCGGGACGCGTGAGAAGCGCACGTAGAAAAATAAACGTCCGTGGGTCGTCGCGACCGCGACGCTGTCGGTCATGCTGATTTGATCGTAAGAAGTGCGTAAGACAGCTTCGGAGCTGTCGTAGGATTTCGACGTAACCTGCGCAAAACTTACGAAAATTTCGTTTCGTGAATACGAATTTGTTCTTAAGTTTTGTCTTACGCACATTTTTGGCGTAAGATCGTTTCGTATATCTGGCCTCTGCACTTCCGAAAGTCGCAGGAAAAGTAAGACAGACGCAGACGACGTTGCAAGCAGACGACGTAGCAAAGGAGCAGACGACGCCCAGATAGGGGGTCGCGATCAGCCAATCAGGGCTCGGCGTTCTGACGTCACCGCTACCCCCTGCGCAAGAAGCAGACGAACTTGCCCTCCGCATAGCTTCGACGTTACATTGCACATACACAATCCCCAAACCACCCCAAACAAGCATTGCCGGAAAGACCACCCGATATTGAAACTAATGGTGGCCAACTCTGCTGTTACTTTCTTCACCAAAGTGCCTCGACACTATGCTCAGGCCCAAGTAATCTCTAGAGGCGAGCATACTTCCCGTTGTGGAGCTACTCTTACTTCCATGTTATAACAATCCATCGAGCTTCACAGACAACCACAAGGTGGCTTTTGCTTATTGTTTTATTCAGTTAAAAATTTGTTTCCTTGCTTTATCCTACAAAACATTTGTATTGGTGAAGTCCTACTTTAACCCGCTTCATGTTTAAGCAGAGATGAGCACCACAATTTGGTTTTTGTGCCCCTTTAAAGCTGACAAGCACAAAGAGCACTCAGAACAAAGGTGTTAGAATATTTGAAACTTTGGAAAATTTGCAAGTAGTGCTTGCTATTCGATTTGCTGTTCAAGTATTTGAGTGGAATGAATATTCCAGAAATTGCGAAGAGTCTCCAAAATTATAAGACTTTTTGCTCCATGCTTCCCTGCTTTGAACCAACACCATGGCATCAAGCTTCACTGCTTTGCACTAGAGGGTTAAGAGAAACGGTTGACATGTCAGAGCATCTCTGTCGACTCTATGGTCTCACTATCACTATATAACTAATTATAGTTCAACCCCTTATTTTAAAGAGATGTGCTTGAAAAGAAACCCTCAAGCTATATTTAAAAAATAAGGCAGTCACTGCTTTGCTTACCTTGTTACATTATGTTTTACCTAGCAATGGGGCAAAACATTCAAGGTTCAGTTCGGACTGTTTCGAAAATTTCCTAACCTTCTACGACAAAATTTTTACCGTTTTGGGAGATTTCAGCATAAAGACACAATGGTGTATGCATGTGTGGATTTAGCACTGATTAAGTAGTTGGAGTGCAAACATTAAATTTTCCGCGCATTAGAAGTCAATCTTTTCTAATGTTGCACTTCTTAGGAAATGTGCATGGAACTTTGGAACAGCCGGGTGCCAGTGGTGTTCAGGTTTGTCATCCTGGCACTGAGTGTGACTGATTGCACTTTACAGTGGGAGTGGCCTTTTTTATATTGAATTCAGGCATCTTTCTCCCTCCAAACCTGTGATATTCTGGCAATGAGAAATCTATGCCTCTTCTTTTGTTCTTTTCCTGCCCCAGGACCACAGTACCATGGGCAGAAAGCCCATGAAATTAACACTTTCAATCAACTTTTCCTACAAATTCAAACCAGACAAAGCATATTCTATTTAGGCAACTAAAAACTTTTTTTTTTTTTGAGTGCAGTGTTTTTTCTTAAAAAGAAACTTCATTTTATTTTTATGATTTTTGGGTTATGATCTGTTTAGTCGAAGTCGGTGACCCTGAATCACGAGATACAATTTGTTTTTCGGTAGTGTATAGTTATGTAGATATTGCGAATCCAAGTTTAGTTCCGGCGGCACGGCGAAACCAAAACTACCGGCTCGAGCAGCTTGGCAACACTGATAGTCAGCTGCCCGTCGACGGCACGACGTAGATTTTGTCCCGCGCTCCTGAGTTGACGAACCGACACGGCCGGCTCAGTCGCACGTGGAGTTTTAAAACAGAAGGCAAGTTGCACATTTTCTTTTTTTACCGCTGCACTTCGTAAATATGCACCAAATGCAGCAAGTTTTAGTGTGCATTTATAAATTTGCCGGCTGAAAAGCGAATCCGACTGCTGTAAATAATGACGTGGTCAGTGCCGGCGCAGCGTGTCTGTATTTGTTCCTTGCTCGTGCAGACCAAGAGATAAATAAATAGTGGGAGACAGATGGTATCTACAAGCGGTCTCAGTTGTTAAAACTAAGGTGCCTTTATGTGTACGCTAGATAGAGCTGCTGTGACCGGACACTTGTACTGGAGCAGCCGGCTGACGGTATGTGAACAGCGACGGCACCGCATCTTTCTTCAAATATGCGTGTTTCGTGGAGAAACCCGCGGCAGTCAGCAGCCGCAGATCTCATGTGTAGGTGTCTGGCGTAAACTGCTGGAGCAGGGCTTCACGTTGGATCTTGGAGTCCACGGTCTTCCGAAGTCTATCCGGTGAACGGCACCGACCCAAACCTTGTGCCTCTTTCGGTCTCTTAGGAACTGGTGGAACTGCAGCTCCGGGTAACGCACCAGATTGTTGGTGAAACCCACAGCACTGCAAGTCGTGCTCGGCGTTGCCCAACGCGAGTCCGGTAAGTCTATCCGGCTCCACGACACGCACATGAGCGAGCAGCACCACTTTGCTACCTTCCGCGCGGTTGCGGAAACTATGCTGGAGTTAAATGAACAGCCAGGATGCAAATAAAAATAGGAGAACACAAGATAATGCGGTAAGCAGCTCTTGCCGTCAGCAGAATTGCAGAATGACACAGGAAACAAAGCAACCGCGGTATTTGTACGAGAGCATAGGACGAAAACTATGTCAATGCCCAGTGTTGCTTCACAAGCTCACCCGATGCCAGCATTGCTCACCCGCTGTCGGGCTGCTAACCCACCAGGTAGAACATTTTTAATATTGGTTTTAATCGGGAATGCGGCGTTGGTTTCACATATTTTGGGTATGACCATATTCTGACCCCCTAAACGATATTAGCCATTTCTATAGGGTCAACTTTTTGAGTGAAGTTGCCCTTTCAAGAGCAACTTTGCTTCATTTTTGTTTGTGAAAAAACAATGCAGTCCTCTTTAGTGTCACCTAGGAAGACCACATGTCAAATATTACAACGTAGTTCTGTCTAAATGTTGCTTAAATGGTCTAGCAAACTTTGCAACTTGCCAAGTTGCCGAAATCTGCTGACTCAAGCGGGCGAATTAAGGTGCAACGAACAGCGGGTGACGTCGGCAACCTTTCCTCTCGGCGCTCAGCAGTGTCCACGTGACTGGCGTAACGTGCCTGCACAGTGTGCTTGAGAGCCAATCGGTCGTCCTGCCGTTACGGCCGTCTCCCACGCCACAACCGCAGTCGTCTCACCGTTTATGGATATTGTCGCTTAGTGTTTCGTTCATACTATGGAGATTACGTGCGCAGACTTACACCGCAGTTGTGCAGACGTCGTCGAATGTCCTAGACACCAAAACGTGGTGAAAAGTGCGGTGCAGACGACACTTGTGCCTGACATGCATGCGCCTATCCCAATCCCGTCCGTTGTTCTGTAGAGGATAATGTGACATGTCGTACCTGGCGACAGCCATGTTTTTGGCGACCCGAGGCCAATGTTGCTGGACGGAGCCGAAGTTTCGGTTTCTGCTCATGTTTAAAATTAGATTTAACAATATATATTAATTTTTTGCAAAGCAAATGACAATGTCTTTTACTAGTGCTTTCTAATGCGAAATCGCTCATTATCCCAAAATCTTAGGAAGTTAGCGGAGTTACCCTTTAAGGAACACTGGAGAGCATGCGCTTTACAAGTGTGCAGCAACGAAATTCTAGTGCCCATTTTATTGTCTAAATGTACAACACGTTCTGGCCACACCACAAACACACCAATAATTTGTTTGAAAAAAAAACAACAACAACCAAAACACTATTTAAAAAGAATAAAACAAATGTCGTTACGTCAAAGTGCCCATAAAAGCAGCGCCACCCCGCGAAAGTACTGCGGCAAGCTGTGTGCACGCCAGCCTGTCCTAACTTGGCCAAACTGGATTTTCCTTCTCTCCTGCAACTATTCAACTCCTGTGGGGAGTGGGCATCCCGAAAATCCGGGTTGTAACGATGCCACCTAGTGGTGAAGCTCACCACGCCAGCTTCCCTGTAGCTTTGCCCATGAAGGAAAACCTGAAGTCACGAACGCACTCAAGGCACCGGATCTTTCGAGATGCATCGCTCTCCGTTAACTGCTCTTCGAGCGTTTGCTGGAATCGGGCGTTTGGAATAAAAAATATAGCCATCCATTCAAAATACAGGTGTGCAGTTGTTATTAGCAGATTTCATTGATTATGCTTAACTCATTTCTGAAGATGAGAGGTGTACTTAAATTTTCTTTTCAATATCCCTTTAAAAAAAAGAAAAAAGAGAGGGATATTGATTATTTGCGCCTCATTCGTGACCAACGAAAGGGGTGTTGTCTCTATGCAAGGTGTCTTCTAAGTCCATATTTATTTGCGCAGGTGGTTTTGTCGCTCTGGTAAAATACTCCGTTGAGCTAGCGTTTAGTACCTTGTTTTCTCATTCTTACCTAAACTTTCACACTGTTCATTCACGAGACAGTCATCAGCAAGTGAAGAAAGTCAAAACAGCCAAGGAGACTCGCATACCTTTTCTCTGCACAAGCAGCCGGAGCAGGGGTCGTGCCGACTGAACAGCCCGGGCGAAGTTCTCGTCATTGTTGATAGGCAGCAGGTCCCCGTGAATGGGGTCCGTGTAACACAGTGTGAAGGCAACCTCGCCAATGTTGTGGAACCGCTCGATAAGCCGGCAGAACTCCTCATACCTCGACAGCTCAGCTTTGTCCAGCGAAAACCGCCGGAACTCTGCATCAAACTGCAAAACGTAGGCCAGACATTATCAGCGAGACATTCTTCCCCGTTTGGCAGGTGGTGCAAAATTTGTGCCAGCTTCAGAGCAAATACGGCACCCATTCCTGTGTGTCACAACACTTTTACACATAATTGGGAGAAAACCCCAACTTTTCATTCATACGACACGGGCTTCTTGGAGTGTACTTCACAATAGAATTCTTAAGGCTCGTTCACACACTTGCAACCGAGTAGGACTGGCTGAGACGAGACCGGCTTTTAAGCCTCTTGCAACAGGTTAGAACCTGCTCCGCAGCAGTGCATCTGGTGCTACGCCATTGCAAGAGGCTTAAAAACTGGTCCTTGTCTCACTCGGTCCTACTCAGTAGGAAGTTTGTGAACGGGCCTTAGGTAATCAGCACGAAACTTCATGCAGCGGCCTTTACTACAAAAAATGCAGCATTAATTCAGCGACAAACCAGCACATTACGTTTTTAAACTATCTTGCAAAACTGCAAAGTGCACTTTGTATGTGGCCACTAACGGGATAAGGATTTTGGGGAGGAGCTTCCAGTTGTTTGCCTCTAGCACAACCTCGCTGTCTTATGTGGCGAATATGTGCATGCACACTCAAAGCTCAGGTGATGCCAGGATATCACCGTAGGTGAAGAGCTTGTACTGGAGGTGGGACCAACCAGTAGTCACTCTTCTTAACCTGTCAGTGACTACAGCGTCATCCATGCAAACTAGGATTGCATGAAATAATGCAGTAGTATAACTATGCCAGTGTTCAGATATCTGGAAACTTTACTGCATGGCCAATACAGTCCCCCCTCATTTGTGCAAACTGTTAGGATAACAAAATAAAGAATTTGAGTCAGTAAGAATGCAGAATACATTCATTTCTACCAGAAAGTTTGTTCAAGTGGGTATATCAGTGGCCAGCTTCCAATGTCCCCTTCTCAGTGTTTCTCTCTCTGTTTTGCAAAATAAGAGTTTCCTCAGCATCATGCACCAACTAGCCCAAGAACGAGTATTGTTCCAATGCACTCTTTGGGGTTCAAGTCCTGTAACTTCTGAGCACGCAATGCCACTACTTCCAATGTTCTTTCGTCGAATAGAGAATTTACCAATCAAGCTTTTCTTGACAGAATGCTGCTAGATCTCCAGAAGCACCATCGTTCAGTAAGTCCCAAATATTTGCTCAAATTAAGATTGAATAGACCAATCTCACCAGCCAGTTTCGTTGCACCACCGATGCCCGCATGCAATGTGGGAACAGTAGTCTTTCTGAAGGTCTGTGCCAGCAGAGCACAAGATGACACGAGCTGTCTCGCGCACAAGCACCTGCCTCCTGTGAACTACTGTTACGGCATGTGTGCAATGCTTAGTGAGATCAGTTTATTCAGAGTAATTAAAAAAAAAAAAAAAAAAACTTCTATAATAAAAAAAAATGCTTAGCTGACACACTGTGTGACACTGTTAGTGCAAAAAAGCGATCACCATTTTTCTCCTACACTCTTAAGGGGTGTCATTAAAACTACAATGGTGGTGGAAAGTTCTTAGATATTGCATTAACCTAAGAGGTAAAATTCGGTGCCCGACAATACCCTTTCAACATAAAACTCAAAAAATTTCCAATGTGTTTGCGCCAACAGTGTACCCTCTTAGCGTAAAATACCGAGCATCCGCCCATTCCATACTAAGCGCCTACCCCCAAATTTTGCAACATAAGATATGCGCCCTACATATATAGGTAAAATTGATGATCTAACAAGCGCCCATTCCCCAATTTTCGCGATTATCTCCATATTTTGAGTGGGCGCTTGCTTGGCATTTCAAGGTAAGCAGAAAATTAGTGTACCATGTATCTCATGAGAAGGATACGAATAAGCTAAAAGTCAGTATTTGTCTATGACTGCTTCACAAGTTGCACATACCCAGTTTGTAATATCAAACCCTTCCAATGCACACCTTGAACATCATAAAGTTCCTAGCAGGGTCATTTCATTTCACATCGATGCAAAGACAGCGCTACACAATTGTTCATGTTATCTTTTTTCTGAACATTGGCAAAACAGAAAGACTTGGAAAGAATGCTGCAAGTTATGTGCTACCTATATTGTAGGCCATCAGTACAAGGGTGTACTGGATTTGACTAAACATTTGGGTCATCTTTTGACAGTTTTGTAGAAATAAAAAATTGTTTAAAGTACTTTTTAATACATTCTAATAAATTTGACTACACCAAAATCAGTTCCATATATGTGTGCAGGTAAGGTAAAGTTGCATGGAAGTCACAAATAGCTTTTGTTGAAGTCAAGATACTGGAACAATTGCAGTAAGCAGTTTGTTGCCAAATGCCTCATGAATATTTTGAGATCCTTTTCATGCCAACGTGCACTCACAAAATGCAAACTGAATTTTATGTTTCAGGGACCCAACATTTGCAAACGGGTCCTTGAGGGGAAAAATTGTCCTTGCTAAATTTGCTAACCACGTCACTACCTTTGCACCAGCGCGCCTTCGCATATAACACATTCGAGCCCAGCTTGGATAGCCTCTCATAATTATAGGCTTCGCAAAAGTACTGTCATTTACAGTACTCTGAATATTCTCTAATCCTTTGGAATCATAGAATGACAAAGATGTCATGGACTGACAAACCCGAGTTAGATGATTAGCATGTGGTATATCTCCGAGGACTCAGCCCAGATGCCCAGGAGAAAAAACATTTACCTTAGGCCTTGTTTTAACATCCTACTTTTCATGGGTGAACCCAAAGCATGGCCCACTACCTTGCACATTCACTCTGTGTTATCACATTTATCCTGACATGTTTAGTGAAATGACAGAACTGCACTGGGTACATAAAGACTTTAAGTCACTATGGTACATTGAAGCAAAGTGGTTAATTGGTTCATAATATAAGTATGAAGCATTGAAAACAACAAAAACCAATATGAAGTGAGACAACACAAGAAGCTCTTTGCAGCAAGGTGGTTTAAGCTTTTTAGCCTTATAAATTGCCAATGCAAAGGTAACTTCCCTTTAGTAGTTCCCCCCTAGCCACAGTCCTCAACAACAGTTAGTACTTACATGTATCGATGAACAAATAAGCAACCACAACGATGGGTCCTATTATGTGATAACAGCACCCATCAATTAAGAGGGTCAAGCTATGTTATAGAAAACCTGCCACATATCTGTAATCATTGTTACCAATCACAATACCGCTGCTTTTCATTTTCTTAAGTTTACACAGCAACAGAATATACATGGGATTCAAATGCACACATACAAGCCTATAAAAAGACGGATTACGTAGCGCACCGCCAAAATTGTCAACCAAAAAACGTGTTAAAAATCGCTTCTCTGAAACGTTTCCGACGCACATTCCACAGTAATGAGCGCAAGATACCAGCGAGAGCTCGCGACACTTTCCTCGAGCACGGACGACTCGGGGGTGCTCGCACAAGTCCCTACCATAGACCAAACTACAAAAGCAGACCCGCACGAACGACACTTGGTTCACTGGTCCGACTCTGAATTGAGATGCACGGATCTCATTTACATGCATTCCAGACGTTTGCCCACGATCTCAGTCAGCCGTGAAGAAAAAAGGCGTGCCCTTGCACGCGGCGGCTACGTTGCACCTTGGAGCGGGCCAACACCGAGCTCGATGCACGCAGATCTCGGGCAGCCGACCGTTACAAGAATATATTCTAGAGGCTAGACTAAAATAAGTACTGCACATAGGTAGGTAGGTAGGTTGCAAAACGGAATTCTCCAAAGCAGGTCAAAGACAGGGAGGGAATAATCAAGAGAATTCACACAGCTCCGTTGTTCAAGACTTCAAACGGCAAGCACTGAATCAGCATTTCTGCCATTTCAAAACGGTAAAAATCCCGTGTCATGCGCAAGAAAGAAAAAAAAAAAAAAAAGAAGAAAAAAAGAAAACACTCGAGATGCTTGAGGCGATCTTTCCCCCCCACCTCGAGACATTTCTGCACGTTGGGATGGACCGCCCGCACAAATCTTTGCGGCACGTGATCCGCAGTAGCCGTAGAATACACAAAAGGCCATTTCTCGTCACTTTCAAATATTCTGGATAAACCTTTCCTCAAAGCGGCGCACCTGGTGAAGAACTGTCCACGGCGATTTGATAATGAAGTTAAGAAAAGACAACACCTGCACCTGCCAAATTAGGCCTAAAGCATGTTACAAACTTACCTTGCTTTTTACTTCTAAAATACTGCCGTTTTGAAGGTGATGCAAGTTCTTCAGGGGTTTGGACATTTCTCGCTCATTGAGCAGGCTGCAGTTACAATGACATTTCGTTTAAATGCATAAAAGTTTGCAGTTAACAGCTTATAAACAACAGTGGACGGACATGCACACACACACCATGACACACACAAACTTCCTCCCTCGGCCCTCTCGGGAAAAATGTCGTCACCGCATACCAGCATCACTGGCATGCGCATTTGCAATGGGTAACGTAGAAAGGCAACACGCTGGATGAAACATTGAATTTATTAATCTTTACTTATTTATGCTGCGTAAAATCTGTAAAAAATGAGAGAGACTAGATTTCAAATATTCGCAAAGTGCGATTTACGAAAATCAGTAACGCTAGGTGAGTGCCGCTCTCAATTACGTCGAAGTTAGCAGCGTGATGGCGCAAGCTGCCGCCCGATTAAAGGGATCGCCGTGCCATTTATCATCCATCCATCCATTCATCGGCGGCAAAGGTCTCTGCTGTTTTGCTTTTGGCGGACTGTTGGCGGTTTTGCTGTCTCTGAAAAAAGAACTTTATGACTGAAAATACGGCAGATTTTATTGATGTTGTAGAAAATTTAGTGTTTGTGCCAGGTGTGGACCAGCAAGATTAACGGGACCGTGCTAGACCAGTGAGCGTTCGCGGCGTAAACACTGCTGTCTCATGTGCTGATGACTGATGAGCACGCGACTGATGAGTGCTGTTCAAGTCATTACCCGATACTTCCTTCGGATGCACTAAACACGATCAACTATGGGCGTGCTAATGAACACCTCTCAGAACAGCAAACTTATCTTGTTTGTGCAGAAGCAATGCAACCGCATCTGCTTTCTGAGCTATGTCGCCGGCGTCGTTTGCTTCGCCCTTCTAGCGTGGGACGGTTGCAACAACAAGACATATTTCTCCGAAAACGCCCTATTGCCCGGCTTAGTTCAAAGGCGATTTCGTCTGTCTGAAGCTGCAAGGGATATTCTGGAAAGCCTAAAAGAAGAGGCGCAAAATCATGCAAGGTAACCCTCGTTTTCGTTTCCGACACACCACATTCTACACCAGCAACTTCGGTTTTTGGGGATCTCCGACGTCATGAAGGACCCACTGTGAACGCCTTTGTGCATGCTTCAACTTCATCTTTCGTGTTGTCAGAGACTGCACATTTCTAGTCTATCGCGTCAACATAATGTTGATAGCTCCGAGGCCAGTTTGTCATTCTCGCCTGTTTCTCCTTCCAGCTTACCTTTACCTTGGCTCCTTGGCCAGTTTCGCCAGTTGGGACTCGACGTTTACCGTCATAACTTCAGTCTCCACTACCCCCTAGGATCAAAACCGGTACGTGCTCAACATGACGGATTGCTCTTTCGAGGCGTACTTATAGGTCTACTGGTGCAAAAGCTGCTCTACATAAAGCTTGCCTTGTCTTTGGATGACCATTACATTGTTGTGCGTTCATGTAACCATTCTCTATGATACATGTTAAAAGGGTAGGTTAGCAGTCGCACTGCACTGGCAAAGTTGCCCCTTAAAAAGGGAGGTAGGGGTTACTATATCTTATGGCAGATGTATGACTGATGAGCCTTGCGACTGGTGAGTGCTGCAAATAACCCTACTACTTAGTTTACCTTTAATTTTTTTCGACCAGGGGAATCTTTTGCATGAAACACAGGTTCAGTGGCTAAATGAAGCAAAGGTAGCGGAAGCCGATGGCAAAAACTTAAAAAGAAACTACCTGGAAGCCTCAGAATGGTTGCTGATTTTTGGCTGAGAGAGACATGTTTAAAGGACTCGTGGCTTTGATTATTTAATTCTGATTGACTTTATTTATGAGAAAGACCATAAATGGCTCTCTGAATTTCATATTTCTAGAGAAATTTTCATAACCCTGCAACTAACTTTCTAGATTGACAGTCTGAGTGGACACTTCCACCTCAGATGAAGCGTGACTCATGACGACTGGTGCACTGCTGAAAAACTCCACCTGGTCTGAGCTTCAATCCTGGGACCTCTTCATGACTAGCAAAGTGTTCTACCTACCGTGCTAAGTCAAGCCCACCTACACTGAAGGCCGTAGTACTGAATTTTTTGTGTCCCCTATTGCAGGCCGATGCGGTGTACCAGTTGGACATGAGTGTTGCATCAGCGTTTTAGTCAGTCCTGTGTTCAGTCGGGGAGAATGTGAGCCCAAGTTGAATGCTGAAGCACCACTTATGTCCAGTCTGCCCCAGAGTCGTATATGTAGAGAGTTTGGTCAATGGGAGGTGCGGGCAGAGCCAGGGCGTGCGGCAGACTCGGAAAGGGGGCTTGGCATGCTCTCTTGACCAACCAGAAGCCGAAAAGAATCCCCTAGCGGTGGTAGCGAGAAACGGTTCTCATCAAAGGTCTATGTTCCTATATGGTTTTAATAAGCGCGTAAGAGTGAAGTGTAGTAACTCTTCGTGGTTGAAAATAGGGTGCACGTGTTGTTTTGATCATGATCATGCCGAAAGACGTAAGAAACGAATGCGCCGCTCAACTCTGTTTTGCGCGGACAGAGTGTGACCGCTCGGACGGCAGATTCCCGGCCCTCGGCGCTTGGCGTACGGATTATGTCAATCGTTCCGCTAGTCGCACTGTTCCGCCATCATTTTGGATGAGCGTGATTGAAACATCACGTGTACCATATTTTCAGCCATTGAGAGTTACTCCAATGCAGTTATCAGGTTTGTTTCTCGCGACCACCGCCAGGGTATTATTTCCGGCTTCTGGTTGGTCACATTCGATTTTCTGAAGACGCCCTGGAACACGCCCAGTCCGCTTTCGGCCAATGGCGCCTCCTCATTTGTCTCCTATACTTCCCAACGAATGGCGAAACTCTACATATACGGCTCTGGTCTGCCCCACGCTGACCTGCGGTAGGTGACAAAAAATACAGCACTACGGTCTTCTGTCTAAGTGGTGTTGGCTGAGCACGCATTGAGCATCAGTAAAGCGAATGAATCTTATCAGCTGTCACCTGTCTGAAACCGAAACACACCACTAGGGTGAGTGACCAGCATTAAAGGATAGATGTAATCTTATTAATATTAATGTTGCAGTGTCTTTAGTTGGAGCCATTTTGGTCAGATTTGTTGTTTTCAAGAAATATTAAAGGGCACTTTTTTTTTCTTTTTGATGCAGACACACACTGGGGAGAATGTTTACGCCATCTTGCGAGCCCCACGGGCTGCCAGCACGGAAGCTGTGGTGCTCTCATCGCCCTACCGCACCGAGGACAATCTACACGGCTCTTCTCTACCTGGCATTGCTCTTATGATTGCAATGGCCAAGTATTTCAGAAGTAGGTTATTCGCCTTTCAGTTTACAGTTGTAAAAGCTAGTCTTACTTGGCTGGAACGGCGGCACTGTTGTGCCAATGCTTTCTGTTTTTGTTTGAACCTAGCATTATCTCTTGTATTTGTTCATGCCATTCGCAGAAACTGTAGTATGCGGGCTGCTTTGACCTTTGTGTGTGAAGCACTAATGACTCCTCGTATGCAAGATTATGTTTACTGCAGGTTGTTTCTATTTCACATATGTTCTATCTTGCTCACATTCCTCTTTTCAGTGCAAGGTTTCTGGGCCAAAGACATCATCTTTCTGGTGACTGAACATGAACTGGTGGGATTCCAAGCCTGGCTGGATGCCTATCATGACATGCACACATCACCTGGTGGTTGGTGTCTCATCTTTTGTGTTTCATGTCTTGCTGTGACCACTGCCAGCTGCATGTAATCTTTGCATGTAAGAATAGGAGCCTAAAAAACTTGTCTGCTCCAAATGGTCCAGACAAGCATTGAAACCCATAAAGAACGCACTGGATTTGGGCAAACTGGTTGCGGTGTGGTGTTTAAAGTCTGCTTTCTTCCAGTGATCGACCCGGGTGTGCTGAATGGCAGGAGTGGACCCATTCATGCCGCTATCAATTTGGAGTTGCACACTGACCGCATCAGGCGCCTAGATTTGAAGCTGGTGGGACTCAACGGCCAGTTGCCAAACCTGGACCTTTTCAACCTTGTTGTTGAGCTGTGCTTGCGTGAGTCGGTGCACACAACATTCCATGATCAGGTGAGGCAACATTGACTTTGATAGAAAAGGAATTCTAGGACGAAAATGCCAAAGGTGTCAGGTTTCCACAACAACAATCTGCATCGCTTGGTGTAGCATTTAAGAGGCCATTTACATGCAATAGTATAAATTGCATCAGCCTGGGGCAGAGTACTTTTAGTCACAAGGATAACTTATATGTGCGTAAAAATATTTTCAAGATAACAACATATGTAGTCACTTTTTACTTTTGCAGCACTTGGTGAAATGAATTTCTACTTTTCTCTAGTAGTTTTTGACTTCATTCTTTTATGACTATTTGATCCACATGCTTCAAAGACCACAGATTATCTGCGTGCGTGTCCCTCATCTGTATAAAAAGCACAATTCAGGATTCTCTTTCAACTACCAAGTTGTAGTGGTGCCATTGATTTAGTTTGTTGCTCTCCCATTTTATGAAAAAAAGATCTTAGTGCAGAAGTAGGAAGGCTTATGAATCTTTGGCTGCACAATCTATGTCGAAGGAGAATATGCTGGAACTGGCTGGCCTCCACCTTTAGGAGGGGCTATACTGTTCCGGTCCCGCTCAACCTTCCAAATAATTTTTGTTCTCTTCAGATTTTCAGAAAATCATATATCAAGTTAAAGCCATAAAAAGGCAATCCCTAACACCTTTTCAGTGTGCCTTTAAAGGTAAACTGAAGCGGGTCTTTATTTGAGGAAAAACACCTAAATCGTTTTAATTTGGACTTCAGGATCATGAATATCAAGATTATTTTTCAAATTGGTAGGTCGAGGCTGCAGAAAATAATTTTTAAAATACCGCTGAAGCCCCTCCTTCCCAAGGCGTGACATCATATTAGGAGTTTTCTGAATCTCTGCTCTCGCACATCTGCTGCGCCCATCAAAGCTATGCACGCGCACTCTTGCTATTTTCAAAAAGGCCAGATAGAGGCTTCACGACAGGTGTCAGTGCGGGGGAATATACCCGGCAAGCTTGCAATTGCACGTGCTGCCCACACGAGCGACACGCGCTTGGTGGCCCAAAGATCCTAGTATGACGTCACGACTGGTCGGATGTTTTTCGCGTTTAGTTACATCTTCAGGGAAAAGAATGTGATATTCAAATTTACGGGATAAAAATACGCCGGAATTCACCTCTAACTCGTTTTTTTTTTTTTTCAAGAAGTGTTTCAGCTTCCTTTTAAGGCAGGGGCTCTTTCTATGCTCTCTTGCAATTTTTTTTAGGGTGACAATATGAAGGCTAGCATAGTTTCCGCAGCACTGTCAAATCTGTTTGTCCAAGAGCATGAAAGTGAGACTCACAATGAAACCATGTTCTTGCACAGCAGTTGCAAGCCCATGGTTTCATTGTGCGTCTCATTTTCGTGCCCTCGCTCCATTGTCTTTGACAGCACAAACAAATATGATGCCAAGTGTAGACCCTCCTTTCTAAATATTTTGTGCCCCTTGTTGATATATGGCATGAAGATATAAATCATAGTGGGAATTTCAATCTATCTGTAAATTTAAGTAATGTTTAGAGTAAAAAGATCTCAGACTAAATATACATTCTGAGGAGGTTCTTTCTTTCATCACTGTAAAGTTTTTGCTCTAAAAAGTTGTATTCTATTGAAATGCTGGGATTTCTTAATATTTATCATGCATCCTAAAGCCAGTAAGGTTTGTGTAGTACTCAAATATTTGTCCTAAAACTGCAACAAAAACTAGCACTGTGGGTCACAGCCAGTTTCTTTATATTCATTTATCTCTGCACAAATCCAAGAGTTTTAGGATGTACTATTGCTACTCTTTGAACAAAATATCAAGTTTATAGATATTTGTAAGGGAAAACTTAGTCAAAACTTGGGAAGGTAGTGCACTTGGTAAAAGGAAAGAAGTAGATAAAATCACTCTCTAAATTGTTCCATCAACATTTCATTTATTATATCCACCAACGTCGTTAGCACAAGTGCACAGGACTTCGGTGTGCTCTCCACTGCATACATACATGCATACTGAGATCAGATTTCTTAAGTCAATGGCTTGCACTCTTTGCTTTTCGCTTTGATTGGCAATAGTTGGGGAGAGGAGGTCATAAGTGATCTAAAATGGAAGCATTTCCTTTTTTTTTTTTGCTTAAAGGCCGGCCCGCAAACAGAGAGAAGGAAACCGACCCCCACTTTCCTTCTCGCCACTGTGAAAGGAGGAAATCGCCTCTCATTTCCTCCTTGCCATTTTCGATTTTTTGTTTTTGTTTTTTTGCCGGCTGCCTGATTTTTTTCGGGGGCAAATTTGGGGTGGGGAAAATGAAAGCTTGAAGGATTTGAAAAGATTATCCAGAAGCCAGCCGGCACACCTGCGACAAGGAGCTGAACCAACCGAGAGCCGTTCTGACTTTTGGGCGAGCTTGGCACTTGCTCTTCCCAACGAGTTGGATTGGCTGTTTTCAGCATTGGCTTGAAGGACGATTCTCGTTGTTGTGAGAGTACAAATAACTTGTTCTGTTCAAAGAAGTAGACATTGAAGTATCAATTTTAATATAAATATATAATTTGGCATCTTTCATTGTTTAGACGAATTCATGGCGACAACGAGAAGTACGAGCGGCGTTTTTCGGTATCTCAGGGATGGCGCTCCATAGATGACGGAGGATTCCATCCGTTGTGGATCTAGCACTTTTCGGTGTAGAGCGTTTTGCTGTAGGGAATTTTGGTGCGGACGTTCTGGTGCACAGACATTTCAGTGTCTCTGCACCAATTGAGCTTATGATGGGGCGGGCGCTTTATCACTGTGTATTTTGTCATGTTTTATAAGCTTTATTACTGGTCAGAAGAAAGCCACGCGAGCCCTATCAGGTTGCAGACAGCAAATTCGGGTGTTTCCGAAGGAGCTCTACAACTTTCCAATTGACATTTCGGTTCTTAATACATTTAAAAAGTTGGGTAATTAGTCCTGAACATTAAATTTATTAGGCATAATTAAAAATACTGCAACTCTCGCAAGATTTTTGCTAACAACATAAAGTTGGTTTCATTAGCGTAAAGTGGCTGCGCTCTAATTTTGTGTTACAGAGATTTGTAAACGTCTTTCACTTTTATGCTTGGTCTTCAAAGATTCGTGAAAAGCATTCACGACATTATCTGTCAAGCTGTGTCCGCGTACAGCGCGGCCTCCTCGGCAAGTTGTTCCCTTATCGAAGACGATAATGAATAAAAGGTACGATCAAAATCTAAATGCCTGAATAAGGCGCAAGTTTAAAATAATTCTAATAGTGTTATTTGATTTTATTTCTACCATATTCAAATTTCAACACTCGTCGCAGGCAGCATGCAAGGCAGAACTGCACTCTTGGCGTACACGAGTGCCCAGTCAACGGTCCTACACACAAACACGCATCACCACCCAACCTGTTTGAAAAATAAATGATTTCCAGTACTTTTGGTGGAAAAGGCCAATTTTCTACTGAGCGTGATTTTTTGTGGACCCAAAAGTCCTGTAGCCGAGATAGGTAGTTCACAGCTTCAGGAAGACGAAAAACGACGGATGCATTATTTCCCGCGAAAGTACTGTTTTGACGTTGAATTTGCCATAGAATTGTATTTGCACAAATTGGTGGCACGATGCCGAACTTACTTGATTACTTTTCTTTTAGAGTCAACATAACCAGGCATAATCTACAGATATTGCATATTCTATTTTAATTGGCGTGAAGCGCGAAAGACAAGTAGGGACATAACGAACACAATAGAGCTCTCATTTCTACTCCATTTCTTTCTTTCTGCACTTGTGGGCAGTTAGCCCGCATGACTATATTCAAGAATTGCCAAGTCGTTTAAGCTTCCCTCTTTTTATAGTTTGTTTCATAGATTAAAGGAGCGATGCAACAATTCTTGTACTGTGCACAAATACCGCTTAAAACGGATCCCTAACGTTGTTGACCTATGAAACACGCGTTCGTTTTTCACCCCAAGCAATAGAAGTCCCAGAAAAAAATTAAAGAAAAACGAGCAGCGTTCACCCCCTCAACTCGCAGCCAGAACAAGCGGCCACGTGACCTGGAGCCGATTATATGCCGCCAGTGTTGATCATAGCCACGCGCTGGGGTTGGCAAAGCGCAGGACACGCGCCGAGTTCCAGACATTGTTATGGCTCGGCTGTTGTCGTCGTTGCAGCGATTGGACACGGGTCACAACACGAATGCTTCTCGAGCTAGCAATTGTCACGAGCCCAAGTCGAGTGCCCACGCAATGCTCGGGTCCAATCTATGAACCGCATTCAAATATCGTCACTTGGGTGTACTGCGATCCCCGAGTTACGTCATCAAATTTTGCAAAGGAGAGATTGAATGAAAATGATCGCTTTTGTCCTTGAAATTACACCGCAACAAAGGGGTTTCTTGGCCAATGGCGTTGCGTGTGAGTATCCTTGAGTCCCAGGTGTGCCAGTAAGCTCGTGTAGAGAGAAAAACATTCCGATTGAATATCGTTGCACCGCTCCTTTAACTTGTAATTGTGGCGAATCCCGGCTGGGTTCGGCTAGAGATCTCGCACGTGTTCAAGGGCACATTTCGGCATGATTTCCCGCTTGGTGATGATGTTGAGCTGGCCGCTGTTTCCTGGTTTTTTTTTGGAGATGGTCGCTGGCCTTCGCCCACCCTGACAGGGCCTTGAACAATTATGCAAGGGATGCAGAGGCAATCTGGGCATTCCATTTTTCAATCTTCGAACAAATGGGAACAGAACAGAATGAAAAGTTCGTAATACCTGCTGTCTTTTAATAAATTACATAATATGCTACTATTGCTAGTTGCACTATTTTACGCGAAGAAAATTGTGTTTTTGCGGTTCAATCTCCGTGTTTCCTGCTCTCTTTGCTAATACACCAGATATTTGTTGGTTATCGAGTTTTCAGTTATATTTGTTGACGGAAACTAAATGAATGTTTGGCCACGAAGAAATTTTTTAAAAATCTGAAGATAGTAGTAAATATACCATAAACCGTTTCACTTTTTATGGAAGTTGGTTTTTTATTCTTTTTAGTTGCTTCAACGAGGCGGACGTTACTCTAGAAAACACCTGTAGTACGAACATATATATTATGCGCCAGAAATGGTCAGACTGTGTTCATTTCGATGCACGACTCTATTGTCAAAATCCAACTAATTTTACATGCTTCGCCCTCTTACTGCAATATTTTTTACTTGCATCTACTCGTGATTATTATTTTGAACAAAAAAAAAAAAACGAAATAGTCACACTATCACTCTTCAGTGTGCCGTTGTTAGAACGACCAATTTTCAATTCTCTGGGTAGAGCTCAAAGTTTAGATAAAAATACCCACCTTTTTTTCCTTCTGCTTTGATGTTCAAGTTCCGTTCACTCGAGATAAATATGCGGTATTGTAGCGTACGTGGCCGCATGCGGAAGTGTTTGAGTGTGTTTTAAAGCTGTAAAAAGAAAGTAAACAAAAACAAAAAAAAAAAAAAGGAGAAAAGCAAGCCATCCCGAACCTTTCCGAGCTCATATCAAGCCTGCCTAACTAACCCCCTAATGTTGGGGATTGAAGCGGAGAGCCTTAAAGGGGTACAGAGATTTTGTCGGGGGGCCGGTAAGCCCATTAGCACTCGTGCGAGAAGGCCGTAAAGAGCGAGGAGGAAAATGGAGGAGGAAAAAAAAGAGAAGAGGGGGAATCTTCTGCCACGCTGAAGAAAATATTGAGTGCCCGCCTTTAAAAGGAACATATTGCGATTTTTATGACATTTTTAATAGTGAAATAGGCCACACACGATAGTATTATTCTTTTTTCTAGGGCATTTAGAGTACATAGATTGAATTATTGCTTTAGAAAGATGAGCTCAAAAACCTCTTTAATGCCCCATTAAGTTTTGCAATGTAGAAGTGCATGTCATAAGCCTGAGCATTACATTCCGACATTCAGCTCCTTTTTCAATGCTTACTGCTACTGTCATTGACGAATCAGATACCCAAGTTGAAAATTTATGATTCCACTGCAGATGCCGTGTGAGTGCGGTTGACACATAGCTTTCATTTTTTAGGGCTTATGATCCCAAATGGAAATGGCCGTCGGTAGGCTAGCATATGATCAAAGTTGTCTTATGCATGAGGTCATCCTTAATTCTGATTAACTTTACCTCTGGCACGTCATAGATCTTCAAGCTTGCTGTCTTCCCCGCAAGTGCATCTAGTCCGTTACGACTGCTAAGTTTTCCGAGATAACACGTCTTTGGAGATTCGTCCGTAGCAGCAGTAGGCACACCAACACAAAAATATGACAATAACAAACTGGCCAGCGAGAACACCACACAACACTTGGCAAGAATGCAAGAAATTTGGCTCGCTACGCTTTCGTGTACATACAGAGACTGCAACGTTTGGGCTTAACGGACTGGTGACGTCCTATTTGTGTTAAGGAACATGAAAATAAATTAGCAGTCTTTTATGTTCCTGCAACAACAAAGAAGCACATGGTTCAAGTCCTTCTAAACACATTTCAAAAGCAACAAATGCAGGCCTACTGATGAATGCCAAACTGTCTTCACCAGGCTGAGAATTCCTCAGTGCTAGCCATGCTGAAACCACACATGAGCTCCTTCTTTCGTGCCCTTATACGTTTCACTGTTGGGGCTTCTTTGGGAGGTGCAGGTATCTCCTTACGAGACGGAATCGTTCGAAGGCTGGAAGCAGTCATTCAAGACTATGGCGGCCATGATGGCAGCCCAGGCCAGTGGGCTCCCCAACGGGGGCCACGGCCTCTTCCACCGCTATGCAATCCAAGCTCTCACGCTGGAAGGTCATGGTGATGGTGAGGCTGCGGTTAGGGTGGGCTTCTACGAAATTGGACGGTAAGCTTGGATCTTGTTTTTCTTGCCCTTGCCTATTCCTTTACTCTTAATTGCCAACAGCTTTTGCAAGCTGTTGGTCATTTGAGGCTCGAGCAACACGTTACTTGCTTCTTGTGCCGTTAATTCAATTGTGGAACTGAGGATTAGCGACTTTCAAATGAACAGTGTTGTTTTTATTCCTCTTGTGTGCCACATTAGGGTCCTCGAGGGGGTCTTCTGTAGCCTGAACAACCTCTTGGAGAGATTCCATCAATCATTCTTCTTCTACCTGCTTCCCTCCACACGGAGATACATTTCCATTGGCCTGTATAGTCCAGCTCTGGCTCTAATTGCATTGCCTACTTTGGTAAAGGTGAGACATCTTCTCAGCGAATGCTTATGTGGAACTCATAGCCTTAGTTTTTGAAATGTTCAGGGATAGAAACAAATGAGGAGTTTTGTTGTTTGTTCTCCCAGTGCAAATTTTGTTTCACTGATTAAATTATTATTATGGCAGCACCAACCTAGACTGGTATAGCATTTTACCCCTCAGTGTTGCTTTCCAGTTTCCATTATAATGATTGTGACTGAGGCACATAAAATTCCTCACTGTCACATCATAGCTGTAATACTGTACTGCAAACTGCTAATATGTCCATAGGTAGTTCCAAAATGGTACTGGAGTGCTTCATTCCAAAATGTTGTACCTGGTGGTACTGTTTCCACAACTGTTTCTTTCTGTCCAATGAGTGACCACATTTTTTGTTTGGTTCATGTTTCCTGGTAATCTAATTCCAAATGGAAGCTGGAACACTAAAACAAACCTTTGCTAGAGGTCAAAAATGTAAAGCCACTACTTATTGGCAAAAGGGAATTGAAGTATGGAAGTAGAGGCAGGTTGACCTGGTGCAGAGGGCAAGATGTCCTTCTCGATTTACCTGTCCAGTAGTGCAGTAGAGCTTTGTTATGGGTCATAAATTCATGATCAGTGACGATTCTGCCATTTTTGTCTGAATGGGGTGAGAAGCTGAATATGTACACTCCTAAAGTGTACAGTTCTGTGCTCTGCTTGGCTTGCTGGAAGTTTTCAAAATGGTCTATTCGATTCCATTTGGCTATCTACAGCGGTCTCAGTATGACTTGGATTCCTTATTTTTGCTGTCAGTTACAGATATCCAAGGTGGTTTCGTAATTTAAACACCTCTGATAATTCAAGCAGACCTGAACATCCCCTTTGACTTGAAAGACTTTATAAAGTGCAAAGATACGACTGCATTTAGAGGGCATTGGTCTTTTCCTTTGCTCGATGTTGAAAAATGTCTTCAGAAAGGTGGCCACTTTCTGTGAATGCTACACCAGGGTGTTTTATAACTTTTCTTGCTGATGTGCACTTGTGGAAACATTTACATTAAAGTGTACTCTGAATCTGACAATATCATCAATAATTTTTGTTTTTGCAGGCTGGAGTTATTTTTTTGTCTCTCAATGCTGAACCCAAGGATGGAAAGAAGATGAATATGGAGGTGAACTTTTAATGCCATTTAGTAGATTTTTTTCCCCACTTAAATTTTTTTATTATTAATATTCTGCTCCTACCAGACATGGAGTATATTGCACATTATCGGTGATGCTCCTTTTTAGTACTGGCATTTTTTAATCATTTTACTTAGCACTAATGTAGCAGTGTCTTAATTTGCTAACCTGTTGATTGTACTAGCACAATACCTAGATGAGGTACATTGCTTCATTTACTCTGCCGTGATGTCATACATTATTTATTGTGATAGTCATTCAGAAATAAGCAGAGGTATTTTGATGGCAGGATTTTTAAAACTGACTCTCTCATAGGCTTAGAAAAGCTGTAACAAGCAGACACAAATGCAGATACAGACGTCATCTGCTTCTGTGTCCAAATCTTTTTATTACCGACTGTGGCACCATCCGAGAGATGCAGCAGAAAACAGAGGCACTCCGTCTACTTCTGCTGCCCTGATGGCATCCTCTTGTAAGCAAAATCACTAATTTACTTCTAACCTACTCTGGTTTTGAAAGTTTAGCATTTTATTCCAACTGCTAGTGCTGCGTTCTGGTCAAATCTGAGCGTTTGGAAGTTCATAATTTATTTTTCACATGCAAGATAGGGCATATAGTACAAGGTTTTTTAAACCTTCTACTATATGCCCTATCATGGAGCACACATTCACCCCATCTAGTCAAACTAACGTCGGCATGTGCTCTGGAAATGCAGGGAGCATCCCTGTGGTCCGCCCTTCCCTGTACTGCTGTCTCGCTGGGGGTGGGTCTTCTGCTGATGGTGGCGCCTCCATACTTGGACCAGCTGGGACATCGGTTTCAGCTCTCCAGTCAGGACTCTTTGTACTATGGCTATGTCATCACGCTGGGACTGTCCCTCCTGCTGCCTCTGTTCGTTGGAGACACTTCCAGGTGGGAAAGGGAAACTGCATCTGCCTATTCGCTGCTTTCAGGTTTTGCACCGTTCAGAGGCTCATGGGCTGTGGCTTAAACCCTTGCGGGCCACATGCAACCCACAGCCCTCATATGTTTCAGACCCCTGCTATTGAGTACAAAGGTTACTGTCCTAGTTACTGTTAACAGGCTATATTCTGGGCAACTAGATTTTTTAAGGCGCGCATTGTGACATAGCAGGCATAATATTTATTAATGTTTGTTAAATAAGGTTGAAACTTTGAAAGTTTGAACTTTTGTGGTACAATTGAACCCAGTTATAATGAGGTTGATTGAAGTCAGAAATATGTTCGCTATATCCGAAATTAATTTTATCTGGGATTTACAAAGTATTCAAATTTGTTTGATGCTCACAACATGTAATGGTCATAGGGTACATAAAATTGACTTGCGTAATAGCTGCTGCTGAACTTTTGTAAATTTTTAGTATAAAATAGCTACAACGAAGCCAAATTTTTTTAAATTTTTACAATAGCTGTCGTAGGTGCGTGTGAGGTGCGCTTCTCTCTCCCTTTGTTTACATGCTGCTAGAAAGTGTCATAAAAATGGATAGCAGCAGATATACAAGGTGTGGTTCTTATATTTTATTTATATTTTACAGAGGAGATACTGTAATGTGCCGATTTTCCGGCACCTATGAGAAAGGTGGTATTCAATGCCTACAATCTGTTCACTAGCAAGCTATATTAAAACCACTAATTTTACTCCACCTTGTAAAGATGCACATTTACGAAACTCACACAGAAGAGTGGAATGGAAGGTCCATGATGTTCAGTGTCACAAAACATAAACGGTCGATTAGGTGACACTATTTGAAAGTGATTTCATTGACTGCCTCTTCTCGAACATACCACATATACACAGCAAACATATTCTCAATGGTCTTGAAGGTGCCACCGTCGCATAAAAGAATGCAAAAGACAAGTTTGTATGATTCAAAGTCATGCTCACTGTTAGCACACAGCTATGGCCATCTGTGAATACTCTTCATTAAGACAACTAAATTTTTCTGCGAAAAAAAAAAAAAAAGCAAAGGCTCAAATGTGGGCAAGGTTCATTTCTTCATTCTTCTTTCTCCTGATCTTATCAAAATGCATAAACAACTACATCAGCCTGCTATGTGACTTTCCCGCTATGTAACTGGTTTGTCGTCGTTTGATTTGGAAACCTCCCAGCAGTCTGTGCTAAGTGGCAAGAATAAACTGTGGCACATCAGTCTCCTCTTTATTTGAGGTTATGAATGCTCATCTTTAATGTATTTAGATAAAAACTAAACTGATCTATGATGACTGGAGCCATGCTTTAGTCATCATACGTCATCTACCTTCAGGATGCCGCCCTCATCAAATGGGACATAACCTCCATGTAAAACATTTTAAAGCAAGAACTGTCACTTTTCAGAACTCTTTTCTTTATCATGGACTGCTATTGAGTGGAACGGTTCCCCAGTACATTGTAGGTTCACATGGCTTGACAGAATTTAGGAAACTATTATGTAATATCACATTTTAGGTCTAAAGGAATATTTTGTGTTTGTGTACTTACCCTGCTGATGTTTTTGTTTTCATGCATACTTGTTTTTGTGACATCGTAAATTTTTAAAAGTTATTACCCACTCCTTATGCTATATCTCCTGGAAGTCCTTAAAGTATTTAAACAAATAAATAAATAAAAGAGCTGGTGGGCAGTGTTTGGCATTTTTTTGGTAAATACTGAGAAAGGTGAATCCTAGTTTATATTAAATAATTTGCTATTGCCTTGTCCATTATAAGTAGGGTTCCGTGTTCTCCGAGTTAATTTTTCGTCAAATTCGGAGGGTGTTTTTCTGAGTTTATTTTTTGCCGAAGATTCAGAGTTTATTGGAGATTGTATTGCTTTGATTCCCAACTCTCCAAAATTCGGAGTTTAATTCGCAGTGTTTCCTATTTAAAATAAATAAATAAATAATAACCGGATGTAAATGTATGCAAGATAAAAAAATAAAACCTGCTTATATCAATTAAGATTTCTTCAGTTCAATTTGGCGTTGGTGCCATTGCCTTTGGTGATACTAATTTGTCCCATGACAAAAGTCGCACACAAGTGTGTCTCCGATAAATGTCGATACCTTAAAATCAATAAACTCCCAGAGGTAGTTGCTAGGAAGCTCGTAGTAATCCCATCCTATTCCATCAATCTAGCCCGTGGCCGCATGAGGTGGAGGGGTTTCAACTTCGATTGCCCCTCTTTCCTATCTTATACAATCTTTATGGTCCATAGCTTTCACTGTTACAAAAACATGCCCTCTCCTTTCTCTAAATCACACATCGCATTGCCTAAACTGGAAACAAAAAAGAGTGGCTTTTGTCGTGACCCGAATGTTCAATGACCTGTTGCCCTGAATCAACCTTGACGAGACAAGTGGAAAGACCCCTTTTGACAACATTCTGAGATTTGAAAGATAATTATGGTGGCATTTTTCCAGGACCATTGACTTTGTGCTGATCAAATTGTAAAAAAACGTCTTTTACTTTCTCTTTATTTTTTTTTGCGGGGGGAGTGGCATTTGCACATTAAAATTCGGAGTTTATCGGATAAATCCGAATTGGCCCAAAGTTTACCAGCGGGTGTTTTTCTGAGTTTTTCGAATTTATCCGAAAATACGGAACCCTAACTATAAGTGGGTTTGATCGTTCATGGTTCATTTGTGGGAGAAACCCCATAGGGTTTCGTTGCGTACATCCAGGGCCAGCTTTAGGGCGCCATCAAAAGGGGGGCGCCGCCGCACCCCCCTTTTGAATTTTTTCTTAGTCTGACAAAACGCTCGTGTGGGGCCACAGCACGGATGTTTACTAACGACGTGATGTTGCATACCTAGTAGGTGGGGGCATATAAGGGAGAAGGGGGGGGGGGGGGGGGGATGCCACGGCCAGAGTTTTTCTAGGGCACTCGATGGTGACGGGGTTGGCCCCGCGTGCATCCATTAGCATTGCAGGTATACAGTCACCGACCGATTTTTCTGATTCCGATAATTCTGACTTGTCCAATATTTCAGACCTAAAGAAGGAACCGTAAATAGGGCATATTCATGACCAATGTTTTGGACAGCTTCAAGTCCGAGGGTAAATGTTTTGGACAAAATCGTTGTGAGCGATCAGTGGAAAACACCTCAGAGAAGCCACCATTTTAGATTTTATGTTGGCTGCACATGGATTGGCATGGTTTGGCAGTGCTACTTGAGTACTGCTAAGTCTTACCACTAGGTGATGCTATGCTACGGCTTGTTTTTTTTCTAGTTGCACGACATTATCATCATCACTGTTACCATCTGGCTTTATTCATTTGCCATTCTGCAGTCCTGGACTTGTGCCTGTCATCTCGTCTCGGCGAATTGTGTTTTCTGACTACACTGGCTTGGACATCATGGCCTCATTTCTTCCGCCGCTGCGAAGTGTCGCTAAGAAGCACGGAAAGTACTCAAACATAACGCTAAAAAAGGAGGCAGCGATTTTCAAGCTAAAAGAAAGTGTCCGAATGCAAGCGGAGGCGTAACCGGAAGCAAGAAACTATTGATTGCTTTTTTAAGCCCGCTTAGACATAATAAAGGCAAGTTTTTTTAATCTGCTGATTTTTCGGACTGCTCTATTAGTCTGACTTTTTTTCGGTCCCTGCGAAGTCCGAAAAATGGGTCGGCGACTGTATGTGCTATTTATGCATTAATAACCATAATTGGTGTGGAGGTATTTTGATTAAAATACAGAAATGACGCATAACAGTGGTTTTTTGGGAGGGGCTCTGTAGAGCTCTGTAGAGCCTGGGTTAGCTCGAGAGTGGATGTTTTCATGTTTCTACCAGGGGTGACAAGAAGCATGCTCGGAAGTGCTCTCTACTGCTCATTTTTGCTGCTGTGGTTCACCCCTTGGCCCTGGTGAACATCTCCATGGCGACAGTCGTGTCTCTGCTCGCCGTTCCGGTGTTGGTGACTGCAGGTGGCACAGGCAACAGGTTTGCTTTTCCCTTGTTTCTCTCGCAGTGTACGGGAAGACAGACTTGAAAATGCAAACTAACACTTCTGGGGACGTATAAATGGTGTTTTTTTTTATCAAATAGATGAATATAAGATAAATAATTTAAATTATTTACTTACTTTTAGTATCCTGAAAGCCTAGGTGCGTTGCACAGGGGGGAGTTTCATTCATTCAGTACGTACGGTCTCAAAATTTAGTCAAGAAAATAAAAAAAAAAAAAAAAAAATGAAATACAAGCACACATTTTCTAATATCAAACTAAATCTTTGTAAAAACAAGAACATAAAAGTTGCATGAAAAAAGAAATATTCCAATTATGTGTAAAAACAGTGTTGCAATATGAAAACAGCAGCTTGTATTTAGATATGTTATTTCGACAATATAACTGAATCGCAAGAAGTATTCCTGTGCAAGGAGTCCACTGTTGAAATAATTAGAATGCAATATGCATTTACCCTTCCAGGTAAATAAATTGGGCATTTGGAGCAAATATAAAAAAATATTACGCCCACTCAGAAAGTACATTTTTATATCCTAATTTATCTCACAAATGTGTATTGCAACCTCTCATATTCTCAGTGGATGGAGTTTGACCACAGTACACCCCTGTCACTTGGGAAGTGCGCTCAATGGAGCTAAAATGGCTAGCTATAACAAATCTAGAAATTTTCACCAATGCTGATCTCTGGATCAATATTCAGAAATTTAGAATATTTGCTTATTTTGCTAATATTGAAGTTGAACTAAGAAATGGTAAAAATTCCCCGGTTCTATTATAAAACGGCGGTTGTGGGTGCCATGGTCAGTGTTTGAGTTTGTTTTCAAGGTTCCTCTAGATTCCTTGTTCATAAACACTTCATATTTGGGAATCGGGCAGTACCTGCAGTAATTTTAGTTGAAACCAGAGTTTTTTAATGCTTTACCTCAATCCCTTATGCTAGGCCTTTTTTACCTCTAACGTGCAGCTCTTTTGGGGCTTAATTCATGTTTCATGATTTTCAGTTTTGGGTATAAAAAACTTTAAATCCTGTTATTTTTTTTTTTCAGGTTCTTGTTGGTTTTCCACCGACTGCTGCAGCTGCTGATTCACCCGTTTGTGCTGAGCTTTGTGTTAATTTTTGTGCAAGCCATGAGCCTGGACAGTTGGCAGCCTCATTCCATAAGAAATAACCTGGGCCACGCTTTCCAGGGCCACAAGAAACTTGTGATGTTCAGTGTTGAGGACTGGCTTCTCTATGGTAACTGGACGTTTGTCATTTCTGCCCTGGGTCTCATTCCTGTTTGGCTGCAAATGTGGATGCTCTGAGGTACTCTGGGTGGCTGAGCTGCTTTGAAAGATTTCAGAGAAGGGTCTCTGCATGCACATCATCTCAGGCTCCATAGAAAATCTTTGGAACACCTGTACAGGTGTGCTTAAGATGGTTGGTAGTTTGCTTGAACTACTTATTAGTGTATTTTTTCTTGTGATATTTCTAAAGAACATTATGTGTTGTTTTGTGATTCTAGACTATTTCAGAACCAAATAAAGGCATATCTTAATCTTTACACAGAGGCACATTTTACATCTTGGTTTTGTACGAAATGTGATGAAAAAACATTACATTACTATATTCGAAATCCGTCAATACATTTTTCAAGAAACTGGTAAAAAAAAAAAAAAAAAAGGAAAAAGATATAATTTAGAAAAACATAACAATGAACCCATATGGAGGCTTATAGATGAGGCAGTAAGCAACTCTCGTACAGCAATTGATTTCCATGAACTGTTATGATTTTCAAGAAATGCCATATTTTTTCAGATATAAGTCAACATTTTTTTTTTCTTGGAATTGGTCTTTAAAACTAGGGGTTTATCTATAATCATAGTCAAAGTATGTTGATCTGTACAATTGACCAGAAGTTGAGTTCGTAAAGCTAACCCAGCTGTTCTCCCGCATCAGCCGCTGCTGCTAGTGCAGCGGTGCAAAACGGTGAAGTTTGATGCGTGTGTGTTGGAGAAAATGCTAGCAGGATAAACCAGTGATTGTGAAAGCCTCAATTTGTTTCAAGCATAGTCCAAGGCCTGGGCAAGATTGTCAAGAAATGGCTCACAGAGGCAGAGATAGCAAAAGGGGGGAGGGGATCATTCCATGCCAAAGGAGACACGGCAATTTTTTGTGTTATATGTACGAAAAAATAAGCCTCTGAACTCCAAAAAAGTATTTTTGTGAAAAAAATCAATTTAATTTTTGTTGATATGCTCTAAATTTCTGGAATTTTCATAAAATTCATGGAATTAAGAAAAACATTGTGAAAAAACGGCTGCATACCACACAAATTTAGGTGGGCGTATAATTACTTAACAACGCCTTTCTTGCAGTAAAATACAAGCATTGAAAGACACCATTTTGAGTCCAAATAGGGGCTCCAAAAAGAAGAGACTGAGATTTCTTTATTTTGTTGAGTCAGTTCCTTTGTTTCTACAGAACTAATAATTGAATAGCATGTGTTAAATTTGCAAAACCTCGTTTTGTTTCGTTTCAATTAAATGTCAAAATCTTCAGTTTTTGCAGAAACGGCCATATTGAGAGCCAGAAAAAGCAATGTGGGCATCGGTGCCCGCAACTTTCTAAATAGCCAGACGTTTAATCCACCTCATCTGTTCAACATAAAAAAAATGAGAAAAGTACTTTTTGTTGTTGCAGAGAAAGTATTTTTCAAAGATGGCCTCTCCGACCATGCCTCCAGGCGCCTGCCTGGTAGGCAACACACGCTGTTGCTTTCCAGCGAAGCGTGAACGGTGCGAAATGCTGCTGCAAGGTCCTCAACGCTTTCCTGAAAACACGTTTTATTAAGTTGAAGTGGACGTCATTCTGACTTCCATCCATCTTCATCCTCCTTACGTTACGTAATGATACTGGCATCTCAATTTTATTCTACTTCTGGCCAGGTAACGGCCGACGAACTCAGGCCTGCATCGTCTGCTTCCCGAATTTGGGAATGCATACTACTGCGCGTCGGCCTTGTCTGTCACATGTCCAGATATAAAAATTCAGACTGGATAGTTCTTCACCGATGCGAAATGGTAACGGTGATGTAGCTTCTCCATTGAACCTAATGTATTTTGATAGAACATGTAGTGCTACCAAAAGCAGTCTAATGATGGCAAAAGCATGCACTTTTTGCGGTGGACGCCTCACACCCCTGAGGCGTCTACCGCCACCGTACATGTGCAGTATTTTAGGCTCCGTAGTACACTGGAGGCCAGCAGAAAATGTATAGAATTTTGAGCTCGCTAGTATTTTTAGAGGAAGTGTGTTTGATAGGAGGTGGGAGTTACACGGGTGCCGTCTTTGCCATCTGAGTGTCAGGCACGGCGGACATTAGATGAGGTAATAACTGTCATGGTAAGTCGGTTTATTAAACATTGTTTATTAACTTTTTAATTAATGGTTTCATATTGCATGTTGCAATTGCAGTATAATGCCAAATAGTATTGGAGGCTTGACCAATTTACAGAATTTGCGAAAATGTAATAGTTTCTTAGATATTGATCGATTAGTTTTAGTGTTTTTATTCCCAATTTCAATATTGCTCGCAAAAAGATTGCCACAAGCCTTGCCCATAGTGACGCTTAGAAGAGTGATGTAATTATTTCCATGGCATTTATTTATTTATTTATTTATTTATTTTTATTTCAAATACTGCCAACCCTTGCGGGTTATAGCAGGAGTGGATACAGTAATATATCAAACAAAATACGGGTGACACAAGAAATTATACATAGAACAATCATTCTCACAGGTGCAACTACTCATCAGCAAACCAGTTCATCAACTTTTCTTCAAATTCTTCAACAGACGTGACGTCCGAAAAAACACTTGGGGGTAATCTGTTCCATTCTTCTATTGTTTTCACAAGAAACGAATATTTAAAAATGTCAATATTGGGCATAAATGGGTCAACTGACCATTCATTGTTTAGTCGTCGAGACCGTCTTCCAGGAGATCTGATATAAGTTTGCGTGTCAATACGAAGATATTTAAAATACAACAAATAAAAAAACTTCAGCCGCGCAATTCTTCGTCTTGACGCTAAGGACGATAATTCAGCTTCCCTCAACAATGCCGAAACAGACTCATGTCTATCGTATTTAGAAAAGATAAACCTGGCTGCTAGCCTTTGAATGCGCTCCACTTTATCTATTTGAGTTTGTGCGTAGGGGTCCCATATTATCGATGCATATTCCAATGTCGGGCGCACTAGAGTTTTATAAACGTTGGTACGGATATCGGAGTTCGTCCCCCTTAGAGATCGCCTCATAAAACAAAGTTTCCTATATGCTGAATTACATACATTTTTAACGTGCGTATTCCAGCTGAGATCACCCGAGATAGTAATACCAAGATACTTAATAGTGTTAGAACGTTGCACGACTACACCATTTATTTCATACAAAAACATCAACGGAGACTTTTTTTTGGTTATGCTTAAGACAGTAGTTTTATCAAAATTAATTCGCATATCCCATTTTTCACACCAGTGAAATATAGTCGTCAAGGAGTCATTCAATAATTCTTGATCATCTACAGTTACTACGGGGATGTAAACCAAACAATCATCAGCAAACAAACACACTTCTACAGCTGCGTCGATATCTTGAGCGATATCGTTAACATAAACCAAAAACAAAACTGGCCCCAAAACAGATCCTTGGGGTACGCCAGACGTGACTGGTAAAACAGATGACGCATGACCGTCAATTTCAACGTACTGTGTCCTATCAGATAAGTATGATTTAATCCAGAGAACCAAGTTCTTATCAACACCAAGAAGCAATAACTTTTCAAGTAACTTTGAATGCGTGACTCTGTCAAATGCTTTAGATAAGTCAATAGATACAACATCTACTTGCCCACGAACATTTAGCACTTTTCCAAACTGATGAGTTGATTCAAACAACTGGGTGATAGTCGATAGCTTCCTGCGAAAACCGTGTTGTTTATCATAAAAAAGGTTTCTGTCTTCTAGAAAATCAACGAGATGTTTAGAAATGATGTGTTCGAGCATTTTGCAGCTTGTTGATGTCAACGATATTGGCCGGTAGTTTTTAACTTCAAGATGGTTGCCCGATTTGTGAATGGGTACAACTTTGGCAATTAACCAATCCTTTGGTAAGCAACATGTATTTAGCGACTGTCTCTGTCTCAGCGGCACGTCCTTGGTAGATGCGCCAACGAACTTAATACGTCTTGGTTCTATCAAAATACATTAAAGTTCAACGGGGAGGCGACATCACTGTTATTATTTTGCATCGGTGGAAAGCTATCCGGTCTGGACTGTTTTTACATCTGGACGTACGACGGACGAGGCAAATGCGCAGAATGCCTTCCCTAATTCGGGAAGCAGACAGTGAAGGCCTGCGCTGGTCAGCAGTTACCTGGGCAGTAGAGTGAAATTAAGACGCCAGTATTACTTAAGGTAAATAGGATATCAATGCATGGGTGTCAGGATAACGTCCATCTTGACTGAATAAAGAGTGTTTTCAGGAGAGAGTTGAAGACCTAGCGGCGGCATTGATGCACCATTGATGCCTCATTCGCATATGCTGGCATGTGTCACCTATGAGGCGGGTGCCTGGAGGCATCATCGGAGAGGCTCATCTTTAAAAAAAAATTTCTCAGCAACAACTTTTCTAATTTTTTTTATATATTGAAGAGATGAGGTGGAGTTGAACTTTTGGCTATTTCGAAAGTTGCAGGCACCGATGCCCACTTTGCTTTTTCTGGCTCTCGATAAGGCCGTTTTTGCGGAAACAGGTGATTTTGTCATTTAATTAACACACAACAAAACAAGGCTTTGAAATTTTAACATATGGAATTCAATTATATTAGTTCTATGTGAACAAAGGGAAAAAAATATTGTAGCTAACACCCAACTCCAAGTTGAGTAAAAAAGAAGGAATCACAGTCTTCGCTTTTTGGAGCTCCCTCCAATTTGGACTCAAAATGGTGTCTTTTAATGTTAGTTTCTTGGTGTAACGTAGGGCATGTTATTAAGTAATTATGCACCCACCTAAATTTGTGTGGTGTGCAACTGTGTTTTCACAGTATTTTTCTTAACTACATGGGTTTTAAACAAATTCCAGAAATTGAGAGCATAATATCAGCAGAAATAAATGTTTTACAAAACAATAGTTTTCTTGGAGTTAAGAGGCTTCTTTATCCAGATTAATTTTTTTGTAGATATCCTAGACATGAAAAAATTGCAGTGTCTCCTTTGACATGAAATGGCCTTGGGGAGTGTGGTGCAAAAGTAAGAGGGAGATCATGGCCCAACACATTGTCTCAGACGGCAGTTTTTGGATGTAAGAACCAGGAAAGCAGGCAACAAATGGGAAAGTAATACACATATCCCTATGGAAGTTAGATGGCACCAGCGTTCATGAACGTAATAGCCAGGAAAATGTGTAAACTGAGGACATACCAAAGAGGGTCTACCGTAGTTCTAGAATTCTTTATGTGGGATTGTTGTACATGCTTCTCCAGCAGATGCTTTGACTTCTTCAACGTTGTTGTACTTACCGAGAGTTTGTGTCACCACACATACTTGGAGAATGTGTTGGATGTTCCTGCTGATTATAAATAAGGTTTGGCTCATATGGTGCTAAAAATGCAGCATCTGAGACTAAGGGAAGGAGTCTGTCATTGCCAAGAACAAGATAAATTTAATCGAACTATTGCACAGCCAGGTATTCTTTGCTCATTAAAACTCTGATGGTTCTGATTTCATAATTTTTGATGACCAACTATAGTAAAAAGAAAATTGTGTGTATGTTTATACAGTGGGAAGTCAGTCTGCCTCGGTGGGCGTCTGGTGTCTCGGCTGTAGATAAGGAATTTAGTAAGGACTATCAAAAGAGAAAAGCTTCCTTCAACAGGTTGACAGATTGTTTAGTTAATAGGCATCAATGCGCAATTCTGGGATAGAAATATTTTTTTGCTTAATTTTTGTCACAGTATTAATGGTGGGAAACAAAGCAACATTTTTCCAACCTGCTCGAAAAAGCATTTTCTATGTTTTTATGGTGTCTTGTTGACAGCCTTTTGTGAGCTTATTTTATTTTTGCATATATATCAAAAAGGCAGTATGGTATCCAAGTTTTCCAGTGCATAAAAAGCAACACAGTTTAACGGGCATAATTCCATCTTTTATTGTTCTTTTTTTGTGTTTGCTGATATGAGCTTTTACAGCTGCTTCAACACATCTGAAGGCCAACAACATTTCCTGTAGAAATGGGAAAACAAGATATAGCCACAGCAGTGAGCTATTAAGCAATAATATGGTGTACATTGAAACATACCCAACAGCAAGACAGTTTAGACGTGGGTTATTCTTTAGTTTAGCACATAGGAGTCTGAAATATTGCCGAGGAAGCCACTCGTTTGAAATGACATGAAAGTTCAGTTTCTGCACCAGTTGTGTGTTAATTACGAATTTAATTTGTTGTACGAAGATTTAGACAGTGGGGGGTCTGCATTAAGATGGTGTTAGTAATATACCATTGTTCTACAGTTTTTGAAGATATCATTGCTCTATAGTTTCTGAACTTCTGTAGGGCAAATACAATACCAGGTATACCTAAAATGTATTATGCAATATTACAAAGCTAATTAATATTTATAGAATTAGCTGTTCCATAGCTGTATGCTTCATTTAGCAAAAACATTCGAAGCAGTTTTAGTTGAGTATAGCAGTAATAGCAAAACAATTTTCAGCTAGTTAATATTTGCTTCCAGTATATGAATGTTTATAGATCGATAATATGGGCAAATGATGGCATTAAATACCATCAATGGTATACCACATTGTATGGTAAAAATAGACTTTTTGAGTGGGTGTTTCTGAGAAAAATTAGTAGCTTAATTCTGATGTTAAATGACCCACATTCGTTTTGTAGAAGTTTTAAATGAATATTTTTACTTATATCAAGTAGTGAGTGTATTTTTGTATTTCCCTTTCAAGTTGTTTGGTACAGTTTTGACCACCTGCAACAACTAGGTAATTTCTACTGGATATATGCTTAGGAGTAACCATGATAAACATACAAAACATAGTGGCAACAACTGTATTTGGAATATTTAGTCTTCGAGCTCTTTTCTACATACTCTGAAAAGTTGGCATTCTTGGGATTATATCCACATTTGGTGTGCAGTGTAGTAATGCTTTTTTTCCCCAATGAATATCACTTCAGTGCAGTTGACAGCGACATCCAGAGAAAAATAAATCACAGTTGGGTGAAGGGTGAAACAGGGCAGTTTGTTGAACTCGACTGCAAATAATACCGTTTTTGTTTACTAGTATGTAGAGAGCGTCACATCCTAACAAGTTATGATTTCGTGTCTGTCCGGGTGTATCTGCATGAGAAAGTAACTGGGTAACATCTAACACCTAAACCCAAACACTGAAGTTAATGAAAATATGTTTTGGAGCGAGGCAATATCTATAGAATGCGACAGTAACATGAACTGGAGGATCAAGCAGTGTTCTCTTTTTGGTCTGGTTTTGAGTCATATACTTTCAGCTTAGTAGTTCTGTGTGGGTCAACTAACACTACCTTAGGGAATTTCAAGCAACAAAGTGTAGTTTTCCTAACACTGGACTGTGGTTAGGATTGTGCCTTGGTCGTTTAGAGGTTCCATACAGGTTAGAGTATTAGAAGTACATGCAATCAAAGGATCTCTGCCATTGTCCTTCAGTAGGCTCTTCCCAGGACCCTGGCGTCTTTGCTGCAGAGTAGCAGAATCTTTTCATCAGACTAGTATGGGTTGTAGAATAGAAGGGATCATTGATCGGAATGCAGAGTTTCTGAAGTTATCATAGAGGTGTCTACACTGTGAAGGTGGACTTTGTATTTACTCTGTGTTCACGCCCCCAGATTTTTTATTTGGTTGACGTAGCACGGCATCTCCCAGCCTCGGAGCTGTTTCCCCGCATTCGGGTCATGATTGTAGCAGAAAGGTTTGGGTCAGAGAGTAGATGACGAGGAAAGGAACTCTTGAGGCTATAGTAAGTTGGTTGTAAAGTATTGGATGCGAAGTAGAAATGGCTTGTCACATGCTCCGAGCACTGGCCCTGCTTATTTGCCATCCTCGTCGGCAGAGTGCTTGGCTAGGGCCAACAACACCATGGTGAGCTCCTTCTTGCTAATCTTGCCGTCCTTGTTAAAGTCGCAGCCTCGCAGTATGGCCTCTTGGAACTCCTCCAAGTCCTGGGCATCGTAGTCCTAGGAAATCCATAGGAAAAGAGTTTGAGTAAATTACTAGCCACAGTTGTCTACACCTGTTTTCACCTCGGCGAAAGTTTTGCGCATTGTTCATACGCGGCGCCAAGTAGTGCTTACGAGATTTGGTTGTCGGAGGAAAAAGTGATGCTTTTGGCGTTTCGAATATGTACGTCGTGATAAAAACATAACATATATATAATCTAAAATTCACCTACATATATCTTAGTTGTCATCATAAAAAGGGGGAAAGTAGTAATGCTCCGCGAGGAGCCGGTCTTTTTTTTACTACGGTTTTTGAGGTGAAAACGGATATAGCTCCCATCTTTTTACGTTTGCAAAGTGCATTTTGAAAGGCAGAAATACCTGGCTTTACGGAAGACTAATCAAAGCAAGCATTGGTGGAACGAACTCGGCGGTATGTCCAAAAGGCCCTTATGTTTGTACATCATCTTTGATCTAAACGGTTGCACAATCTTTCCGTTGAGTTTTACATCGCTGGACCGTTCCAGCGTTTATCACCCAGACGAATAATGCCGAGTCACTGGGTGTGGACGCATGCGTATTGCGCTGAAGAGCTACTGCGCATGCTGAGAACGCTTGGCGGGCAAACTACTTAGATTTTTTAAAGCGAAAGCCTGCCTTGTCCCATTACGCGAAAAAGCGGCGGCGTTGTCCCCGAAAAATGGTCATAAAAATGCGTCATCAAGCACGCGCCTCCGAAATAAAACACAAAGAGAAGCACAGCAACGCTGATGTTTCGTCACGGAAGCCGTGATGCCAGCGGGGGTGCCGCGCCTACGCGCCGCTCAAGATCAAAGCGGACGCTTTTTAGAAATAAAGGAAAGCACAGCAACGCATGTTTCGTCACTGAAGCCGGCGCGGTTCGCCGCGCCTGCGCAGTGGGGGAGCGTGATGTCATCGCCGGAGCGCCGTGTGAAAGGAAGACGTGGCGCGCTGCTTGTAGGAATGCGCTGCGTGTAGAATGCTTTCGCCTTCCTACACGTAAACAATCTTTAGTGTCTGTATTTTTTTCCTTTTTACCTTTGTCCACGGCAGTGCATTCCAAGGCACGCTCGCGCACACTGAACGCCGATTAAGGCTGCGCACGTGCACTCAGATAAAAAGTAATCATTGCATAATTAGAACCTGATGACTCAACCTGCGCGTAATTAATTTCACAACTGGCGCCGTCATACTGTTCAATAATGTAGGAAGCTATATAAAACCTTTATAAAATATTATGAAGTGTTAAGAGTTCCACGAGACATATGGTACGGTTTCTTTTTGTCTCAAAGTACGTACAAAATTAGTTTTTCTTTAATAATTCCGTTTGTTAGACGCGTTTCAATAGCATTTAGGGACAATAAAAAGAGTGCGCGAAGATGAAATAAGAGGTTTTCCACTAACATCGTTGAACAAACTGAAAAAAGAAAGAAAAACTAGATACGTTTAGCAAGGACGTAAATGAAAAGAGTGCGCTCGAAGGTGACGGAGCAAAGCACCATTGTGCATTTCATATAACTCGCGCGTGCTTAGAACCCTAAAAATACAAGGACGTTTATATATATATATATATATATATATGGGTCCATATCACATGAGCGAATGACATTTTAGCGAACAGCGACGTCTTAGCGAATTGACGTTTTAGCGAATAACGGGGGCGCGCGTTAACCCATCCGCCGCGCTGCGCTTTTCATTACAAAAATGTAAACCCATTTGGCCCACCCGAAAACGCCGCTTCGCGGCGTCCGACTATTCGCTAAAGTGTCATTCGGTGAAACGTGGGCGTTCGCTAAAACGTCATTCGATCAAGTGAGTGCCTCCCATTCCTGACGGAGACCTGCCTCAGGTCGAAACGTCGAATAAAATCCTGGTTTGTTTTTCATCGTTACCTTGCATCTCTGTCTTCTACGCTTGCGGCCTCCGAGCCAACATGGCTATGTGTATATATATATATATATATATATATATATATATATATATATATATATATATATACAAGTTTTTAAAGGTTTTACAGATTTGTTAGAAAAAAAAAAAAGCCGTGAAGGCTACACTTATGCGGTTTGTGCAGGTGCGGTATACGGCCAAGGGGACATTATGTGGGTGGATAATCTTTACGATAAGTCGGCTAATTAATTAAAAATTGTTAATTTACTTTTTACTTAGTGAAATAGACTCATGGTTCCAATTAGAAACTTACTGAGCGTCATCGAAAACCGCTAAATCAACTCTTTTTAGAACGGCTTGAAGTCGGTGCTGTGGCATTGAGCATAGTGAAACGTCATGCCCAGTGACACAGCGTTACCGATGAAAAGCAATTAGGTTACAGTTATAGTTACTTGACTCTAAATGTAACAAAGTTACATTGCAGTTGTAATATCCTTCCGCAGTTCCCGAAAATGTATATGTTCAGACCCGTTCTGTCTCGCTTCTAACAGGCTTCGAAGCAGTGTTACAGAAAACGTCACTTATTACAGTAACTGAAATACTTGAAATTAGTTTCTTTATTGCTCTGGTGGGCAGCCCCAGGTGCTTTCAGTGCGGCACGGCTATTCCGGAGGCAATCAGTCACGTCATTATGGAATGCGCAAACTGACTCGTCCTTAAAAGAAGTTACCACATTGTTTTGCAAAACGTGCCCCGTGGCCTAGTAATTTGCTAGCATGGACATTGTCTATCCAGCGGGTCTGGTTCGCCCGAAGGCATTTTCTTCACGGGCTACTGCGCAACCCCAGTGCAACAGGCTTTCACAGTCCCAGTGGTATTGACGCTGTGATGCAAGTTGGTTGCCTGAGGCACTTTTCGTATTCCTGTCCCTTTCGCCTAGACTTCTTTGTGTCAGGAATTTCTTGTATGACTTATTTCATCATTTCTTATATATATATATATATATATATATATATATATATATATATATATATATATATATATATATATATATATAAGAACAAAGCAAATGGCTCTTTCTTTAGTCTGGAACACCTATGTAACAGTACAAAAAAACAGCTTTTTGTGTGTGTGTGCAAAAATCGTTTTTGAAAAGTGCCATATTTAGTATACTAAACCAACACCTGAAGAGTATTTCCACAAAGTTTAATTTGTTTCCGCTGCGTAGTTGTTATAAATTATTTTAGGTGCCCGATGCGGATCTCGACAATGAGTGCATTTTTCCTCCGTTTAATTTTAGCGGTATAAATTTGATTTTAGTCAATCTGTCATTTGACAATGGGCTTAAAAGAAATGCTTATTCTTTGTTTTTCCCTAATGAAATGCATCGACTCTCCAGGAAATCGCCTCTGGAACTTTCTAAAAGTTTTTGAATAAAATAATAATAAAAAAAATTTTGAAACTGTGGAAGATACAGAAGGCCTACAAGTTGTTTGATTGTGCAAAAAAAATGTTATAAAAACAAATTACTTAGTATACAAAATTGTTGTCACAGTTGCACTTTTTAGACATTCTGCTTTGTATTTAGTGAAGAAGAATACTGGGGGACAGCGTATTATTTTTCTAACAATAGATTGACTAAGCAATGGTGATGTGCTCGTGATAAAAACTGCAGTTTCCTTCACAATTAAGCGCCGTTCACACACGTGCAACCGAGTACGACCGAGAGAGGAAAGACCGGTTGTTATCTTACGACGGAGTAAGACCCGCATCCGGTCCTCCGCCGTCGCAAGAGGCTTAAAAACCGGTCTGGTCTCTCTCGGTCTTACTCGGTCGCAAGAGTGTGAACGGGCCTTTAGGACCAGCTCCGCTGCAGCGGAGCTGGTCCGAAGACGTCGCAAGAAGCTTAAAAACCGGCCTGGTCTCTCTCGGTCTTACTCACTCGGTTACAAGTGTGTGGACGAGCCTTTATTGTACACAGCTGAAACTTCGCAATGCATCATTTTAGTCCTTAGCAGTCTACACTTAATTTATTTCAAGCCAGGGATTATAAAGTTGACCCTTTTGGGTTACGGGTAGTTCTCCCCTTTGAAGGCCGCTGTTGCTTTTCTTGTGAGAATTACTACAATGGATGCGGTAATGCTTGTGGCTCATAAATTTCTTACGAATATGTTAGAAGTTAATATTTAATCTCCACTTGAGAGCAGTCCTTTTCAACTTATCACTTCCCCCCAAAATGGAATTGTTCTAAAGATTCGAACAAAAAGGGAATATTACTGAGGAGTAATTTGAAGTCGCACCTTTTTGACAAGTTCCAGTAGATCTTTGAGAAATCCTTTGAGCTCCTCGTTTTCAATCGTGCCGTTCTTGTCCTGTGAACGCAAATACAAAACAAACAAAGAATTCGTTGAATATACTCTGCGATGACAATAATTGTACCTGAAAACGTTGGACAATGTATATTGATTAAAGTACCGAGTAATTGACATTGTGTAGTCAACAGTAGTTCTAGCTTTTGCCGCGTTGTTATTATTTAGTAATGCGGTTTCAATTGTTTTGATCTTCGTTTTTCGTGATTTTAAGAAGCTGCATCACGCTGGCGTCAAATTGTTTTCTCAGTAATTTGGAAGATCACGGTTGAAATATTGGATTTCACACTCCGAGGTTCGGACAGGAAAACGGGCACTTTTAGTGTGCATCAGTGTATTTGCTTCACAGTGCTAACACTGCGCTTTCCACTGCAGTTCTCCACTGGAGCAGTACTACACTGTAGCTGTACTCCTGCAGTAGAGAGACACGTTGTTCTCTTTGTTCTTTGTTCGCCTCTTACCGGCGCGCATGTGCGAAAAGCCGGCAATCGCACGAAATTCAGAACACACAAAAACTGTTACGGGATATTAAAAGGAAAAAAAAAAGGGGGGGGGGGGGGGCGGGGGAGAGGGTATATATTGCATGTAAACCTTAAATGTAGTTTTGTCAAAATCACATTTGCGATTCCTGTACGATAATTACCCATAAACATAATTCGTTAAAAAAATGGTTTAGAACTATTTTAGTCTGTCTAATTTCATGCAATTTTCGGTTCGTTTTTCGCACATTGTTCCACGTCTTCTTGTCGTTCGCCCTTTTTTTTTTTTTTTCTATTTTAGCCGTTGTTGAAGCAGACCGAAGGCTTACCCGATCATAGAGTGCGAAAACTCGCTCGATGTCCTCCCTTGTTAACTTGCTTGCGCCCTGCGAAGACAAGGGAACGTTAGATATCCGTGATAAGTTGGAGGTTGCCTACCAGACGTTCTTTTTAATTGTAGCTTTTTGTTTCTTGTTATGTCGTGAAGTCAAGTCTAAGTCCTTTGTTATGCTCATGCATGTCATTTCAATCTGATGTTTATCTGCCGTGGCTCATTTAATTCGGCATTGAAAAGAAATACTGATGGCATTCTCTTTGAATCATGTATTTTGGATTGTGAGCTCATAGCTAAAATCCCTAAACAATAATAAAAAAAGAAAGAAACGCAAGTCGTTGTTGGTTTATTTTGCCGTAATAAAAACAATAGTTTTCAAGGGTGTGCAAGGAAGATTTGAGCGCCTTATTTTTTATTGTTTTATTTATATGTCCACTACGGACATTGCTGTAGCTCTTTGCGAAAGCCAAACTTCTGTTCCAGTACCTAGGACAATGCAAACTCCGCATCACTTCCAATAATAATTAAAAAAAAAAACAAAAAAAAAAACGGTGGTACAGTGCGTTTCGGTGAAGCGGAAGTTGCACATGGTCCTTAGGGAATACCTGGGACAGCCATGCCAAGCATTGCGTGCCGAAGCAATGTGCAGAGTCCTTTGCTGGAATGGGCTAGAACTAGATAGAATGGACTAGAATCGGGCAGCGTTGCGACCGTGCCTACAAGTGGAGACCGCTCTCCATGCCAGCGGAAGCAGCATAATCGCCAGTGGTCGCAATGCCCTGCTGCTCTTTTCCCTGCATCTGTCTGAGTCTCTCTATCTCAAAGGAGAGCGCGGTAGCGTCACCTGAGCTTGGTGGAACCTTCAGCGGAGTGGAAACGCAGTAATAGGGAGTTTTAGTGGACCGTGTTTCCCCCTCCGTTACGAAGAAACCGCCACTGCGCCTGCGTGCCGATGGCCTTGGCTGTAGAGTTCCGGGTAGCGGAGGGGCTTAGCGGAGGGGGAAACACGGTCTACTAAAACTCGCTAATAATTCTCATTCAGGGACAAGATACGTTTCCTATCCTACAGACCGATCTCAATAAACGTTGGGCGCATGCCTGACGCCGCCATAACTTCAGTGCACAGGAGGTAGACGGCAGTGCACGAGAGGGCTCGTGCCTCCTCGCGTTCTGCACGCGCAGAGCTCCAGCGAGGTCGTCTCACGTGCAGAAAGACTGAAGTTCAATCGATGCATTGCGGCAGCGGTGGCGTGGTCAAACTGGCTGGTGAGATCGGCCTACTGGTAATTTCAAGCAGTGGAAGTGTTTCGGTGTAGTAACGCTGTGCGACTTGAAGTTACACAAGCGAGCAGCGCTGCATAGTCTCCTGCTGCGCAGACAAGGACGCAGCCCTGCTTGTACCGCGGAGATCACGGATCATTTTGAAACACTCCGGTTGGGACACGCGTGTCGAAAAATGAATTTTACGCCAACACATTACTTTTTTTTAGAGCAATATTGACGGCGCGAGTTGCGATTTAGTCAGTAGTCTCCTCCTTTTCACATGTTTTTTCTCTCGGCATTTCGGGCGCGTGGAGGAGAGGTGAATCGGCTTGGCCATCACGTCGAGGTGGAGAGAGTGTATGACCATCTCGTTGAGGTGGAAAGAGTGTATGACCGTTCCGTGACGCCATGGACCTTGCGCGCAGAATTTGAAATAAATCTTGCGCCGTCAGCATTGCTCAGAAAAACAATATATATATGTATTTTTTTTTGCGTAAAATTTATTTTTTTTTGACACGCGTGTCCCAATCAAACTATATAAAAAAAAGCGTTTTTTTAAGTCGACAGTGCAGTGGAAGTAGCGCGCCTACCGGACCAATCAACCGCCTCCCTTTTGTCACCTGACTCCGCCCTCTGCGCGCGGGTATGGGCTGGAGCGTGATGACGCGGCAAAAGATAGACGTAAGATTGGTCCTAAGGAGCCCGTAGCTTCCACCGCACTGTCAGCAGAGGGGTGAACCGAGTACAGATTCCGACTGCCATTCGCACTTCTCCACGGAATGGGAGTTCCCCAACGTCAATTTTATGTCCACCCCCTCTGTAATGCCCCTGGGTTGTGAAGGTATTGAAATAAATAAATAAATAAATATCCCAGCCAAATGACAACACATCCCGGGCACATGAGCTGTCAGCGAGCAACCAAATGACCGTGCTAGAAAGGAGGGGGGCTGTTCACACAGGCGGCGTCCGTTTCGCAATCCATTGTGCGTTTGGCGTGCCACCGGATGCTTTTCCCGAGCCCTAGGGACGATATCGCACTGTAACGGTTGTGTCGGTAGTGGCGTGCCGCCTTTAGCATTTCAAAGCTGGATTCGTTTTCGTGCTACCTATACAGCCGCTTCTGCGATTTTGACTTCACAGGATGTTATACGAATGTAGCCATCGAAACATACCGGCACTTGATGAAACTACTACTGGTTAGAAACAAAATTACAAAAATCGTAAAATCTTAAAAAAAAAAAAAAATACAAGCAAAGAAGCAGCAAACGCGCATACATGCACACACGCACGCAAAAAGCGCGTGTGTACGCAAAACCACGATCCTTAACAGAACAAAGTGCTACCTGTGTGAGCAGCCCGTGCATAATACGGGTGAATGTGCAAAGTGCTACCCATCAATAATTGCGTGAGCGTTTGATTTAGTTTTTTTTTTTTAATTTTGTGCTTGGTCTTTTTACTTTTGCATAGGAATCCTCGTATCACCAGTAGAAATATCGAGTGTGAATACCAGAAGGATTGCAAGCAAAGTCAGTAGCATCACGTTTACAAAACGAGCGTGAAATGACGGGGCGTAACTCTCGGTAATGACGCTCGCACAGTGAGTAACGAGACACCATCATCATACGCTTGAGATCTGGATCACTTTCATGGCAAGAAAAATGTGCAGAGTGACGCGCCATTTGTTGGCAGCAGGCACACACGCTTGGCCGCGTTCTTATAGTCTGGAGTGTACGAAGCATCCGTCGATTCGTGTGCTGCCTCATGCATCATCTCCGAGGGGAAGGGACGAGCAAAAGTATTTGTCTTCTTTACCCACACTGCGAGCCCTGCGAACGATCCTGGGTTGACACGAGGCAGTGTGCTGGCTAACCAATCCAGAGGAAAGGGATTGCCGTAACCAGACGAATGCGAGAAGTTCCGTTGACCGATACTTTTTGCGCGTTCCGTGCATGTTTATAGGCGTTGACACTTTCAAATGAAAGGTGCCGACGTTGGGGTGGTCTCACCGCTTTTGAACGTCCCGTGACGAATAACCGTTCTCTCAAAGCAATAGATATTTCTCACGCCACCAAAGAAAAACATTAATGAATTAAATCCAGGTCACAAAAAGGAAGAAAAAAAAGTATCTCCCCTACGCCTATATAAAGCGCTGTCCTTCCAAAAGTGCTGCTGCAATATATATCCGCTCTTTCGTCAAACTCGTTCCTTAGAACGAGGGACGTCTGCATGAGGGCCTCGATGGCGGCACTCTGGCCCGAAGCAAAATAGAGTGCCTCTATGTTTGCAGCAACATTGAGTCACACCAAAGCAAACGTGTGCATCAGCGTCACGGACAGTTGTCACTGCAAGCGAGGCGCTCACACGTCAAGCAAGGTTGCCGGCTCTAGTCTACGGGGGTGGTGCCTGCGTCTTGGGTGCCGCGCTTGCGATAGCGCGTCAGCAGCACGTACATCGACATTCGGCAGTCCACTACGGGCGTGTCACTATGGAGAGCACGGTCCTCAGGCATGCCCACATTACCCGGTGGTACGTACCGCTGTCGCATCAGTTAGCTGTGCAGAGCAACAAACACGCCGTGTTATCCAGGCACCCCTGGGCCCGGGTAGATGCCCGGGAAACAAGTTCCCCGGGACGAACTGCTTCCACGTAAATCGTGTCATAAAGTATACTACGAACTGCTGCCTCAATTAGTGGTCCCAACAAACGGTACCCGCTCCTCCCAGGGTACGCGTGTAAGCTCTTCCGATTATACCAATGACGACGTCATGTATATATTTCTGATAGGACTGAGCTTGAGCAACGACTACTTCATTCAAGTCGAGCTAGTTTAAGTGAGGACGTGTCGACTTGCTTGAGCTTGGGACTCGGCTTCCCTAACGGGCCGAGTGCGGTTGTCTGCTACGAGTGCGAGGTTAATTCGCTAGTGTTTGGCGCTTCATTCTGCGACCTTTTGTTGTTGTACAAAATGATGCGTATGAATAAGAAGTACCTCAACTAGCGTACAAAGGAATCGACTGTCGCACTACTTCAAGCAACGCGTCTCGGGGAAAGTAAAAATGTCACGCAACGCCTTCTACGCGACACACTTGGAGCGAGTACTTGATCGCTAATCTCGAATTTCTGCTAAAAGGCTGAAAGGCGTCCGGGATGTGTCTCGGATTGAACACTGTGGTCGAACATCAGCGGGAGTGGGAGGGTCAATTCTCCCTCCCTCTCTCTCTATTTCTCCCCTACTTGCGGAATATTAATGGTCTGTCTTTATTACGCTCCTCGGTAAAAGAGCAAATTCCCAAATGCTCGTATGAAAAAATAATAAAAAGAAAGAATTACCATTTAACAGATGCGCAGTATCAACGCACAGTTCACGTTTTGGGATTCGTTTTACATTTTGCGGTTTATCATTTAAGCTGACCGGCGACTCCCGCACACGGTCCCGAAGCTCGTGTGCGCTGGCCAGCCGGCTCTGTCGATACTTCGACCTGCGGTGTCCTATCCTCATGCAAGCCCATCGGAAATCAATGTGGAGCACTGTCCTCTGTGCATAGTTAGGCAGAAGAGAAGGGAGACACGCGACTGTACAAGGCCACGCCGTCGTTCATTTTTACAGGGCGACCCGTGTGTGGGCCGCTCCCACTCAGTCGGTTGGCGCAGGACGCTGTCTCTCCTCCGAGGGCTGATGGGCGTTGGTTTTATCCGCGGTAAATAATTATGTCTTACACGCGCTTTCGGTCGATGGCTTTCGAACGTATGCGCAGTCTGAGGTTATCTAAAATATTGCGCCTATATGCACTTCGCTAGACTTTAAGCGTGCAAAAGAGCAGTTTGAGCTCCAGTTGTAGTGCTTCCATCGCAACTGCGTAGCTGTATTTTTTTTTAATATTTTTTTTCTGTCCTAAATGGCGAGTTCTTTTGAGTCTGTGAATATTCTTAGCGATACGTTTTGAGGGGTTCGAAAAAATGCAACACTAGCGATCTAGACCTAATATTCGTTATACTTGTTCGGCTGGAGTAAATAGCAGCAAATGTGGTTCGTTATATACGACGGCAAAGTGTTCCCTTCACTGATAGATGCAACCTTTATTAACGAATTGAAGAGTAATATCAATAAATGAAACGCTAACCGATAGTTGGGACTATACCTTTCACCGTCAATATTTTTAACCTGTACACTGAAAAATATATCTTTCAGATTGCGTTTGTGATTGGGCTACAATTGGCGGGCGTTGACTTAATTTGCTTATGTTTCTTCCCCGAAAAATATCCCTCGATTGTTCTTTTTGCATCGACTCCCGGATATATCCCAGTCAAAAACCTAAATTTGCAGTTTAAAAGCGGAGATATCGTAGAAACATGAAATTTCGCATTTTCAAACTTTGCATTTTCAGGTTCTCTAATTCTGAAACGAGCAAACCTCTTTCGGTTCCTGTTCGTTGAAATTGGGGGTAGGATGTACTACATACTCGAATAGCCTATTAGTTTTTCATGGATAATGGCCTTCGCTTTAAAGAATTTTGTAGGTCGTACAAGGCCCCATAAAATCCAAATTTCTGCTAAAAAAAAAAAAAAAAAAGAATGTAAATTTGGTACAAACCTCGTATGCTAACCGAATGTAAAAAAAAAAAAAAAGCGAAAAAAAGAAACCCACATTAATAGTACCTACTTAATAAATTCGGGGGTTCGCTAGACTGTTTGGCTTGGCAACAGGCGCAACACGTTGACCTCCCACATAAATACACCGCACCCCTTACCTTAAAGGCTGAACGACAGAGAAAGTTTTCCTTGACCGGAAGCAGTCTGCAAAGAAGAAACGTATTAGTAATAGTAATAACGCAATTACAGAAACAGAGCACACAAGTGAAGTCTCGTAGATAGGTTCCGGCGATTTGAGTGGAAGGAAAGCCTTGGGAGTGACTTGAGTGATCACACATGGACCTTTCGTCGAACTGCATGCTGCTTTGATATGATAGATGCAGGCACATGCATTACTGATGTGATATTTACTGGTCGTTGACAGACTTTCTCTAATGCTTTCGTTTATTAGCGCTAAAAGTTCTTGCGTTGATGGTACAGAAATGATTTGACTCACTTGGCCATCTCACTGAGCTGTAACTTCCCATCTTTATTGCTGTCGAATATCTGTAGCTGCAAGCAAACATAACACACATACCTTAGAACAACTGCACGACACGGCCAACCCAAACACATCTTCAGTTTGTCACTACCTACTTACAGAGGTAACTATCGAACGCTAGACTTTACTACCTACACTTCAATTATAAAAATCTCGGGTGCCGCACGTCGGGACCGCCCACAATTCGCGTTGACGCGGAATTTTTCGAGCAGTGTGTTCACGCAGCGCAGAGCTGTCAACAACATGGTCCAATATCTCCTTTCTCGAGGCACGCTTCACAAAACTTGCGTCTGATTCAAAATACCAGCAGAAGGCGAAGCAGTCTAATCACAAACGGGCGCGAGTGAAGATGCCACTTTTCGACTCGCAAGTACGAGCGAAGCATTACACGCCCGTCTTCCCCTGTCCGAAGCACATAAAACAGGCCGCGAAGAATTCGCCACTTTGAGTGAGCGGTACAGCGGTGGCGGTATTTTTCCACGGGTGTGAACGCCGAACGAGCGCCAACAGCAACGAAGCGGACAATGGCCAGCAGTTCCAGGAACGACAGGCAGGTCGCGGTGCACGTTTTTACTCCATTCCCCTTCAGCAATCCGCGTTCCAACGTTTGTTCGTCGGTGGACATTTCCCTTTTGTCTCGCTGCCTTATCTGAGCGCGGTTTCTGAATGAGCGGAGCCCACCGGCGTGCTCGGTCGCGGTCCTCGTGCGGGCGGCTGCCTCAAAGACCTCACAGATAGCCATCGCATTCGCGACCAGGGGAGCGGTGTTTCCGGCTCTCGGTTGTGGCTACGCTGTTTGGACATTGACGTATTTTCCCACAACCTCCCCTCTCATCCTTTTATATATATGTACATATATATTTTTCTTTGCGAATTCCGACTGTTGCTTTGGGAGTCTGACTCAGACGGTGTGACACGCTGTCGCGTTGGGGGTTCTAATGGACGCAGCTTGGTCTCTGCGCACTGTTCTTAGAAGCGCGCCCAGAAATGTCAGCGGTGGGAAAGATTGTCTGCTCTTTTCCGAACGGACGAGAGTCATCATGTGAGAGAGGGAAGAGGAGAAGGATACGAGGAAAGCGAGGTAGTGTAGGAGACTGACAGCGGTGTTTACCGGCTTTCACGTGGAACAAGGTTTAAACGTCACGGCCCGTGTTGCGCTGGTATCGTTTTTTTTTTCTCCAAAACCTCGATTTATATCAAACGTACACCGAAACAGACGGGACGGAAAAAAGGAGACAAACAACCGCTGAACCTACAACTGAAGTTTTAATCGTCAAGGCACAGCCTATATACACGATCAAACAAAGGAAGCACACAAAGCCAATGACACCCCGCTAAAACCCGCACAATCATCGCGCATGCTGCGTGAGAGGAAATCTAATTCTTTCGCCGACAAAAGAACCGACGGGGCACTGACACACTCCTCCCCCAAGCGCGCTATCGCCTCTGCCTCTATAATCTCCCTGGTCAGGGCATTGGCACTTCTTCCAATGACAGTACATATTTTTTTAATTCCACATCACAGCCACAGTCGCGACGTTGAATGCTCAAGTGTCCTGATACTACCCTGTTTGCTTTGTAACAATGCTCTTTTAACCTATCATTGAGGCATCTGCCCGCCTGACCTATGTATCGTGGAATGGAATAAACAAATTTCTCTGCACAATCAAAAAACTTATTTTGATACTTCTTTGTACACTCCGGAGGTCTTCCGGTAGACTGATTGACATTTTTGCATAGCTTAGACAACCTGTTCGGAGCAGAGAAGACTGCAGTGACGTCTACCCGCTTTCCTATTTTCTTTAAGACATGGGAAACTCTACGTAAATACGGGACCCCAACAACTTTGTTTCTTTTTAGGAGCGTGTTTCACATTCGCACCGTTTTTTAATTTAATTTTCTTCAGAAAAGCGTCTGCTACCTACGCCAATGGGTGTTCCGGATAATCCGCTGACCGAAGGCGGGAACCTTGAGTGTCAAAGCTCACCTGTGCTTGATGAAAGCAGGATTTCTTCAGGGCATTCGTAAAACACAAACTCACGATTTTTACCAATTTTGAATGGGCGGATTGATAAGATAAAACTGGTTTTTATCTTATCAATCTTATCGTCCACGAGGTTCGAACGACCAACAAACATGATCTTCCAGAAAATGAAGACGAAGGTCGAGGAAACGTATGGACCCATTGGCAGCCAACTCGTGAGTCAAAACCAATGGGGCCAAGCAATTACCAAACACAGACCATACACTTGACACAAAGTGGGTCACGCCATGCTTAGTACTGTCTAAAATCACGAGATAGTCGTCAACGTATCTAAACTTTTTTACCACACTTGGACTGTCTAAAGGGCTAGAAAGATCTCTGTCATGATGTACGAGGTATATATCACTGAGAATGGGGGCGATCCAAGACCCTATGCGCACACCGTTTTTTAGCAAAAAGAAAAAAAAAAGTGCTCTGTTTCCATGAAATGAACTTGATCTAAATCCCTTTTTTTGCAAAAAAAAAAAAAAAGGAAAAAAAAAGTGCTCTGTTCCCATGAGGTGAACGTTGATCTAAGATAAAAGGAAAGTAATTCGAGGAAGCCCCCGACTGACACGCCAGTCGCATTCTGGAAGGCGACTGACCCAAACTTATCTATGCATTCCTCGACACAGAACAGCCATTTCCCGTGGGGAAGCGAATAAAACAAATCCTTGATGTCCAAAGAGCATGCGTTGAAGCTTCTGTCATTATGTTCATTTAAAAACCCAATGAGTTGTTTGGGGTCCCTATCTCTGCATTCCTCGACACTTTGTGGAAGAAAATTAAATTAGAAGGCGGTGAAAATTTGGAAAACGCTCCTAAGGAAGAAACAAGGTTGCCGTGGTCCCGTATTTACATAGAGTTTCCCATGGCTTAAAGCAGTGGTTCTCAAAGGGGGGTCCGCGGACCCTTTGGGGCCCGCGAAGGCATTCTAGGGGTCCGTGAAGCCCTGCCTCATCAGTCAAGCCCGGCAATAAAAGTTGTCTTTTTTTTTTTTTTTTTTTAAGATCGAGAAGAAATGTTTTAGTTTTCGGGCGAGTTTTCTCGTGTGAATGTCAATAAGAGAGGTCTACTTCACGCTAGCCTTTAGTTATATTCATTTATTCAATAATTATTACATTTAACGTATACATTTCCCTTCCCCTCACCATGAACGGGGTCCTCCATCATCTCCGCCGATCCGCAAGGGGTCCGCGAAGAAAATAGGAAAGCGGGTAGACGTCATTGTGGTCTTCTCTGCCCCGAACAGGTTGTCTAAACTTTGCAAAAATGTTAATCAGTTTACCGGGAGGCCTCTGGAGTGTACAGATAAGCATAAAAATCGGTTTGTTGATTGTATAGAGAAAGTTGTTTATTCCATTCCGCTGTCCTGTGGTAAACAATACGTAGGCCAGACGGGCAGATGCCTCAATGATAGGTTAAGAGAGCATTGTTACAATGTAAACAGGGTAGTATCAGGACACCTGGGCATTCATTGTCGCAACTGTGGCTGTGATGCGGAATTAAAAAAAAAAATGTACTGTCATTGGAAGAAGTGCCAATGCCCTGACCAGGGAGATTATAGAGGCAGAGGCGATAGCGCGCTTGGGGGAGGAGTGTGTCAGTGCCCCGTCGGTTCTTTTGTCGGCGAAAGAATTAGATTTTCTCTCACGGGACGACAGCATGCGCGATGATTGTGGGGTTTTTAGCGGGATGTCATTGGCTTTGTGAGCTTCCTTTGTTTGATCGTGTATATAGGCTGTGCCTTGACGATTAAAACTTCAGTTGTAACTTAAGCGGTTGTTCGTCTCCTTTCTTTCGTTCCATCTGTTTCGCTGTACGTTTTAAATAATCATGCTTTACCAGCACTCCAAAGCTTCCATTCTGAACAAGCTCAATTTATAGCGAGCTTATACTTTGTTTCAGCTTAAGTCCAGACGCAGCCGACGCTACGAGCTGATGGGACCAATCAAGCAGACTCAAAAGCGCAAGTCACTGGGCCTCTTCTGTTTATGATTGTTTCAGCGATGATAGAACACGAACTGCAAAAACAAAAACATAACTAACACCATAATGGTTCCCTTTTGACGCTCTCTCATTACTCCCATCAGCTCGTAACGTCGGCTGCGTGTGGACTTAAGGTAAAACGAAATATAAAGAGAGAACGCCCCGGGCTCCTTCCGCCCATTGTTTACGTTTCTTGTTTTGGGCGCGCTTATCGAGAGACGAACCCCGGTTTTTCAGTAGTATTTATTTCTTTCGCTTCGGTCACATTTTGAGCGGTAACTGGCAATTTTGCGGTCACAGACATTTTGGACAGATCTCCCGTGGTGTTCTCCTTGGGTTGGCCATACGGTCGGTGCACTGCGATTGCCACCTTTGCGATGCTTTCGCGTGTAGTTACCACATGGTCGTTACACACGCGTTCGGGGAAGAATGACGCGCGTGCACATACGGACTTGGAAGATTCAATATCTACGCAGTAGTAGAGTAGACAGTTGGGCGAGTTGGTAGTTATTGAACATAGAACATAAAAAAAACAAAAAAACATATGTGCCACAAGAACCACTCCCACTTTTGTGTGCCCTGCTCCCTGAGTGTAGTATATAGTATCCCCCTTTCATGTGGTAAAAGCTACGTTGGACAGACCGGACGGTGTGTGAACGACCGGCTACGAGAGCACAATCTCTCTCTAAAGTCTACGGTGGGGGGGCCATCTACCCCTGCACTGTAAATCCTGTAATGTACGCCATCCTTAGCAAAAACCAAGATAATAGGCAGGTACCGAGAAAAACACACCAGAGAGATATTTGAAGCTTTTATTATCCTAAGCATGGGCGAGCGATGCGTTAGCTTTCCGTCTGTTTCATTAACAGGGGAGGAAATTGCCTTCTTAAAATCTTTTTCGTGCGGGTAATTTTACGTGTCTGCCTCGGGCCCTCGGACCCGTGGTCCGAGCTCGTGCCTGTGTGACCAACGCTCGAGCGGATACCGCGTTCTGTACCACTTTCTTTTCTTCTTTGGTTAATACATGAGCTGTGAGTGTGCGCTTGTCTGTCGTCTACGTGTTCCTCTTCTCTGTCCTTGTCCCTGTGTGCGCAACTGTAACTATGTTCAATATCTACGCGTCACGAGAGGTAGATATGACGTTTTCACGTGTGTGCTGAACTGATATTCCGTCTGATGTAGAGGTAGGTAAAGGAAAGAGAGCTAGAGGAGAGATTTAAGAATGGGAAGAAAAGCGCTTAGGTCACTGTGCACTAGATATTCCGAAATGCGAAAGAAATGCAAGTACAGGTTTTGCCGCTCATAATAATCACAGTGCCAGCTTTTTAAATCCGAGTGTCCCTGGATTTAGTCCAGCCGTACACCAATTTAATCCAAGTGTCAATGAATTTAAGCCAAGTTGTCAACAATTTAATCTCAAAGCCATCCATTTTAATTCGAAAGTCACTCAATTTAATCCGTTCATATCTGTGAATTAACTATGACTACTAACTCATAGGTTACAACCGTTTTAGAGGTCTAAATTGCTGGAAGTCGTGAATGCAAAATCTGGCGTTTCATTTTATATGCACGTTGCGTGACTGGTTTTCTCGTGAATTTTGACGAATTTCTTAGACCCCAATACGTAAGCTCGAGACTGAATGGTGGGGATGTTTCGTCGGTTTTAGAAAAATAACGAAAATTTTCAAGAGGCTTAACAGGAAAACGGTGTTTGGAAAAAAATTGCATTTCAATTAGGTGTATGCCCTCAATGACCTGAAAATTTTCATTGCAAATCAAGGTCCTGATTTTTGACTGCGTGTATTCCACACTCGAATATGTGAGTTACATGTCCTCGGTTTGAAGAGCAGACACAATGTACTCGGAATGATTGCGGTTGTAGGCTGCGCAATCAACACGTAGAATTTTTTGCATTGCTGCAAACGGCGACCGTTTGGAGCATCTGCCATCGGTGTTCCTTTAACTTGGTAGCTTCAGGCTGCGCAAGTACGGCTGCGCTATGCTCGCTAAGCTAAGCTTTAACGCCGGTCTTGAACTTGGAAAACAACTCTTCAATTGGGTTGAAGAGCGGACTCTATAGCGGTAAGTACTTCAAAGAGTGCCCCTGGGACAAGGCTTCGTCTGCGGCTCGTCCGTGTGCCGGAGCATTATTTAATATGATGACCGCATCCTGGCTAGGAGCTGTTGCCATGGTCTCCCTCGAAGCTTCCTCCAGGAATTCGTTGAAAGTCAACCAGGACACTTTTCCTCACTTCTCCGCAAGAGGAACCCTTCAGCAGACATGCATGTGAGGAGGTTGGTATTGGGCCCTCTGGTACCTTAGTTCTCAAGATGGCGTCCTTCCGACGTTTTGACCTCCCAAACCTCCGACTACACCAAATATTAGAGTTTGTCTCGTCAACGTAATATTGAAGTTGAAGCGGGCCGTTCCCCCGCAGCCACGAAGCGTATTTATCTCTTGCACTTTTTACGTCATCGCGATTTCGGTCAACGGGCTGCAGAGAAAGTGGCTTTGTTGTGTAACCGTGTCCATCCAAAAGTCTGTCAATTGTAGATAGGCTGATTTGGATACCTGGTCCAGCTGCTCCAAGCTCTTGTTTGAGTTGCTTCAGCGTGTAGGTTGAGTGTTCATCCACTGCAGCTGCCAGATCCTGCACAACATCGGAGTCGAATGTCTTCTTTGAGCCTCCTCTGGGCTTCGGTTCATATCTGTCAGTCTTCGCAATTGAGTGAACAGTTTTCACATCAATTTGTATTGTTTCATCAAGTTGCTTGATTTTATCACCTTGCCGCCAGCAGTAAAGCAACTGCTCCCGATCTTGATCGGATACCTTCTGGTAGGATTGTTTAGGTAGGTTTGGATCCTTCTGAGACCGACCTCGACACCTTGCACTAGACAAACTCACTGCCAAGAGCGTTCACCAATGCGGGCGACGATTAGAGCGGTTCGTCGATTTGCACCTCCAAAACGTCGAACCGCTCTAATCGTTTTCATCTGCCTTCGAGAGTTGAGTATCGGCCGACGTCTGAAACCAAGAGGGAGATGCCAGGTTATCATCTGCAACCGAGGCACGGCGCAAGCATACCACGAAGTGTTTGCAGACTACCCAAGAAGCGCTGTCCAATGGTTTCAACAACAGACGCCTTCTGCTATTCCACGGAGACTGTCTGCGAAAACTTTGCGGTATGTTTGAGCGGGGACGCTGTTTTATCGACGGGCTTCGTCTGCTACAACGGGCTTCGTCTGCAAACACTTCGCGATATGCTCCCGCCGTGCCGCAGTTGCAGACGATAACCTGACATTGCCCTCTTGGTTTTAGACGTCGGTAAATTCTCAACCCTACAAGGCAGATAAAAATGATTGGAGCGGTTCGACGATTTGCACGCAAGTCACCCGCATTTGTGAACGTTCTTGGCAATGGGCTTGTCTAATGCAAGGTGTCGAGATCGGTCTCGGAAGGATCCAAACCTACCTAAACAATCCTACCAAAAGGTATCCGATCAAGATCGGGCGTGGCTTCCTTACTGCTGGCGACAAGGCGGTAACATCAAGCAACTTGATGAAATACTAGGAATTAACGTGAAGACTGCTCAGTCGATTGCGAAGACTGACAGAGATGACCCGAAGCCCAGAGGAGGCTAAAAGAAGACATTCGACTCCGATGTTGTGCAGGATCTGGCTGCTATGGCGGATGAACACCCAACCTACACGCCAAAGCAACTCAAACAAGAGCTTGGAGCAGCTGGGCCAGGTATCCAAATCAGCCTATCTACAATTGACAGACTTTTGGATGGACACGGTTACACAACAAAGCAACTTTCTTTGCAGCCCGTTGACCGAAATCGCGATGACAGAAAAAGTGCAAGAAATAAACACGCTTCGTGGCTGCAGGGGGACGGCCCACTTCAACTTCGATATTGCGTTGACGAGACAAACTCTAATATCTGGTGTAGTCGGAGGTTTGGGAGGTTGAAACGTGGGAAGGACGCCATCTTGAGAACTAAGGTACCAGAGGACCCAATATCAACATCTTCCCATGCATGTCTGCTGAAGGGTTCCTCTTGTGGAGAAGTGAGGAAAAAGTGTCCTGGTTGACTTTCAACGAATTCCTGGAGGAGGTTTCGAGTAAGATCATGGCAACATCTCCCAGCCAGGATGCGGTCATTATATTTGATAATGCTCCCGCACACCGACGAGCCGCAGACGCCGCCTTGTCCCAGGGGCACTCTTTGAAGTACTTACCGCCATGCAGTCCTTTCTTCAACCGAATTGTAGATATGTTTTTCAAGCTCAAGTCCGGCGTGAAAGCTTACCCAGTGAGAATAGCACAGCCGTATTTGCGCGGCCTGAAGCTACCACCTTAAAGGAACACCGATGGTAGATGCCCCAAACGGCGACGCAAGAAGCAATGCAGATATTTCACCGTATTGATAATGCAGCCTATGGCCGCAATAACTTCGAGTACATTGTGCCTGTCCTTCAAACCGTGAACATGTAACTCAAATATTTGAGTGCGGAATACATGGAGTAAAAAATCAGCACCTTGTTTGGCAATGAAAATGTTTATGCCATTGAATGCGTACACTATAATTGAAATACACATTTTTCAAACATGGGTTCACTGTCAAGCCTCTTGAAAAGTTTCGTTACTATTCTAATACCGACGAAACATCCCCATAATTCAGTCTCGAGCTCAGGTATTATGGTCTAGGAAATCCATTAAAATTCAGGAGAAAACCAGTCACGCAACGGGCAAATAGAATGAAAAGTCTTTCATGACTTGCTAGCAACTTAGACCTCTCAAATTGTTGCAACAAATGAATTAGTAGTCATAGTTAATTTACAGATATGAACGAAGTAAATTGAGTGATTCTCGAATTAAAATGAATGGCATTGGGATTACATTGTTGACAACTTGGATTAAATTCATTGACACTTGGATTATATTGGTGTACAGCTGGATTAAATTCAGGTGCACTCGGAATAAAAAAGCTGGCACTTGGATTATTATGAGCGGAGAAACCTGTAGTTGCCCAAAGTAATAAAGATGTCAATAATTATTATATAAACTTAGTAGTGTGACTAATATATTGGGGAAATATAAAAAAGTGACTACTAAGTTAATTGAGTTAATTTAAAGTCAATTAGGTGACTAGTAACACGGAGTAATCAAAGGAGTACGTTTTGAATGAACTTTTATGTAGTCGCATTTCCCAATTATATATCAAAGTAATCGACTGAGTAATGAAAATTTTGCCTCTATAAAGTCATTTGTGTCAATGATACCTGTAGAACCAAACAGTAATCGGAAGGTCAAATGAGCTTCTACCGAGTTATATTTTGTCAATAATTCCTCTAAGTAATCGAGGGAGTAATCCAAAATGTTTGTGTAACTCTTATCTTGTAATTCGTGTTTTTGATGGGCCGAAGTAATTAAAATTGCAAGCCATACCCCTATTAAGCTTTAAATAATTGCAGACATGTCAAAAATAGATCAAAAGAGTAATCACAAGCTGCGATTGCCCTTTTATAATTTTAATTGTATCAATAATAAGTAGAACTAAAAAGAAACAGTAAGCAAAACGTCAATTCAGCTAAAGTCGAATGCCCCTCTAAGAACTCAAGGTAACCAGAAAAGTAATCAGCATGACAATTAAACTACGTCGATCATGCGACTAGTAACTCCAAGTAATGGAGTTATGGAGTAATGAAGTAGTCCCAAACGAAGTCTAATTCTATAAACAATTACTCTAGTTATCAAAAGTGTAAGCGAAACGCGACCACTAAAGACAAGTAAGCACATGTATATTTTGTGGACGCCAGGACTAAATTGGGTAGCATTGGGATTGAATGGGATGGCGCTTGAAATGAATTGGAAGGCACTCGGAATAAATTTATCGTCGTTTGGATTGAAATGAGTGGGAAAACCGGTAATAGACGAGGCAAATGCTTAGCTACAATTCTCACCAGAGTGTCGGTGTATTCGATAAGCTTGTCTTCTTCGATGCTGTCTTTCTTGGCTTCACGGAGCAGGTCCTTGAGGAAATTCTGAAACGGAATCGACAAAACGCTCTAGCCACTTAGAGGATGAGAACGCCAGGGCGTCTCTTTCGGATGCCCGACACGCGCTCCTCCGTCTCGCCATAGCCTCTAAACTCACAAAGCCTGGCAGTTTGACGACGGAGCCATATAGTACCCGGTCGCAGATTTGGAGCGCGAGAATCTGGTAGCACAGAGCATCAAAGAGCCATTTCTCGGGGAACCTCGACGTCAGCGCACAGCTTTTGCAGCGGCGAGGACCCGAAACACACTTGTTCGCTGGGGAGAAGTGTATTTCGGTGTCTCGCCGCAGCGGGGCGCCAGTCACGTGGCTCTCCTGGAATTACAACAGGTATGAGGTGGTGAGAGAGATTTGGAAAGGGGTCATGGTGCCTGGCTTGACTTTTGGAAACGCAGTGCTATGCATGAAATCCGAAGTGCATGCGAGACTAGAAATAAAACAGCGCGGAGTAGGTAGACTGGCTTTGGGGGCACATTGCAAAACGCCAAACCAGGGAGTACAAGGAGACATGGGATGGGCATCATTTGAGAGCAGGGAAGCGGTGAGCAAGGTAGATTTTGAGGATAGGTTGAGGCAAATGGACGGGGAGCAATGGGCACGAAAGGTTTTCAGCTATTTATACATGAGGAGTGTAGACACAAAGTGGAGACAGCGCACTAGGAAATTAAGAGGAAAGTTTTTGGGCTATAGCGAAGATACCGAAGAGCAAGTCTCAGTTAAGAAGAAAGTTAAGGCCACAGAAAGAGATTGGTGGCTAGAGGGAATGCAGACAAAGACGGCTCTGGAAAGCTATAGATTAAACAAAAGAGTTATTGCCAAAGAAAGCATTTATGACAATTCTAGGGGAAGCTCATTGCTGTTTGAGGCAAGAACGGGTGTTCTGCGAACCAGAACATACAGGGTGAAGTACCAGGAAATTGATACAGTGTGCACTGCTTGTGGAGAGGAGGACGAGACGGCTGAGCACTTGATACTCTACTGTAAAGGGCTTCACCCTATGCCTACCGAAGACAACATAGATTTAATAAAGTCATTGGGTTTTAGAGACAGCGAAGGGAGAGTGGATTTCAAGACTGTAGAGATTACCAAGCAAAGATTAAGTGAATGGTGGCAGAAATCGAGAGAAAACTAGGTATTTTCTTATCCACTGATGGCAAGGGGGTTTCATAGCCTCACTTTCTTTGCACTGCGGAGTGAATATAGATTTCACATTTAAATATTCTAAGCTTAAATGGTAAAACAAAATGGCTAGGTGGCGTAAGCTACCGCCCGATCCAAAGGGCTCAGCCGTATTCATCCATCCATCCATCCTCTCATCCGTTGTCTGCCTCTCCATCTTTTCCATTTCGGCGGCCGCTTCTCGTGGCCATCTGCCAGGTTTTTTCAGTAAATAGGAGGCTATGGTCTCACTTTGGCTGTACGTGCTCACTAAAAGCTCCCGAGATGCCGACGCGTTATCGAAGGTGCACAGGAAGCTCGCACAGGAGGCGGGACAACCGAAGGACCGACCTGCTGTTCTCGTTCTGTCAGTGACATTTTTTTGCGTCGAGCGATCAAATCGAATCAATGATGACCTATTGGCCAAATTTAAATCAACATTGATTTGTGGGTCTTTCTCTTCTCAGTGCGAGTTAACACCTCAATACGGCACCACCGTGTATTAGATGAGAGTATTATTTCCGATTATAGTTTTATTTTTGCCGTTTGGATGCCCGCGGGCCTAGTAGCGCTGCTCAAACATCATAAATGATGACGGAATTATCTGCGGACAATCTTCGAAGTATGTTGGTTTCATACATGAACATGTGTGCAGACAGATTTTTGCATGACCAGTGTGTCAGAATCGTCATACAAGAAAGGCCGTCTTTTGTACGAACGGTGTGACTTTAGCGGCTTAGCCTGTCTCGCCGACAAACCTTGCGCAGGAAGCTAAGGCCCGTTCACACTCTTGCAACCGAGTACGACCGAGAGAGACGAGACTTGTTAAAACTAGGGGTGTCGCGAACCGGCCGAGGTTCGAGTTCGACCAGGTTCGACTTTTTCGAACTTTTAGTGGAAAATTCGACGAACCTTGTATTGAGGTTCGACTCGTGTGCGCATGCGCGAGAGGCTAGCCAGTTGGCTTCGGATTGGATGGTGATGGCTAAGGGATGAATTAAGGGCAGCGCTGATTGGTTATTTCAGTTAATACAGTACAAAAAATTAAGTTATTAACTTCTTTAGTGATTAGAATTAGTTTCTTTTAATTGCAACTGTTTATAAAATAATAAAAAGAAAAAACCTTTTCATATAAAATTTTTTTCCAAACCTAGATATGCTTGTATCAAGGTCTGGCCACACTGTCCACAAAATCGAACCGGTCGAATTCGGTCAAAAGTAGGGGTGTCGCGAACTTTTGTCGAACCGGATTTTTAGGTCGAACTTCCGGGGTTCGACTGGGTCGAACCGGTTCGACGAACCTTCGAAACTTTTCACCAGATTCGACCGGTTCGACTTTGCGGACAGCGTAGCCAGACTTTGATACACACATGTCTAGGTTTGGAGAATTTATTTTTATGCAAAGGGTTATTTTATTTTATGAACAGTTGCAATTAAAAGAAACCAATTCTAATCACTGAAGATGTTAATAAATTAATTTTTTTGTACTGTATTAACTGAAATAACCAATCAGCGGTGCCCTTAATTAATCCTTTAGCCATTACCATCCAATCCGAAGCCAACTGGCCAGCCTGTCGCGCATGCGCACACGAGTCGAACCTCAATACAAGGTTCGTCGAAATTTCCACGAAAAGTTCGAAAAAGTCGAACCTGGTCGAACTCGAACCTCGGCCGGTTCGCGACACCCCTAGTCAAAAGTTCGAAGGTTCGTCGACCGGTTCCACCCAGTCGAACCCCGAAAGTTCGACCTAAAAATCTGGTTCGACAAAAGTTCGCGACACCCCTAGTTAAAACCTCTTAAAATTTCTTAGGACGAGGGAACAGACTGACATCCTGGCGCCATCTATGCGGTGACCCTGGAACTGCATTTCACAAGAGCGAAGGTTTTGCGGGATTTCCGAGGTCAATTGTGCATATTACTTATAAGAAAGGCTCGTTTATAACGTTGACAAAAGTTTTTCGAGCCAAGAAAGAAAGGATAATGCGCGAGAGAAATAGAAAATATGCCGGACCGGCAAGTTTACACTGCTACCCAATAGATGGCGCCAGTGTGTCCTCTTGTTGTAAGAGGTTTCAAGCCACAAAGTTTTAAGAAGTCGCAAGAATGTAAACGGGCCTTTACTCGCGTCTTGGACGACGTGTGGCGTGTGTCCACGAAGATGACGCCTTTTTTTGTGGGCTAGCTATTTGCAGTGGATTTCTTTTTTTTTTTTTTTTACATGCAGTACACGAAATACTTTTCAAAGACATCGGGAACCGGGAGAGCTTTGTGGCTTGAAACCTCTTACAATCCGGGAGAGCTTTGTGGCTTGAAACCACGAAAGCAGTCGCTTGGCGCTGAGAGGCACCTCATTAGTAAAGAACGAAGGGGCTTTCTGACTCGCGTGTTTGTCTGATTAGTCGCTTCTCCTGATTTTTGAGGCAATTGGGACCGGTCCGACTGAACAATAGTCAGTATGAGACAGAATGAGAGTCAGCAGTATGTAATAAAAATTTGGTAAGCAGCATCGCGCCAATAAACCAAAAAAAAAAAACAACAACAGTAACAACAGCAACAACAAAAACGGAATAAACAGTAAAAGAGCCGATGTCTTTGGGTCCTTGCACTTCCATTTTCTGAAACCAACTTTCGCAACAGACAGAGAGAGAGAGAGAGCGAGAGAGAGAGAGAGATGTTATATTTTGTTACGCTTTGCAGCATTTCTGTTTGACGAAATGCCCGAGATAACGCCACAGACGTATTCACTATAGCGACTCCACTGAACAAAAGGGTATATGTCACGTTTTTCGTAAACTTTAAAGCGAAAATATACTTCGGGATGGGCGTCATACAAAAGCGTCGTTTTTCCCGTGGCTCGCTGTAAAAAGCTCGGCTTTGAAGGCGTACTGTTTATGCAAGAGCTGCGTGGGGACACAGTTGGTCGCGCGCTTTCCTACACTGTTCTCGTTTTCCGTCATGGCGAGTTACGCAAACAAAGTCCGACGGAAATTCGGCTCGGGCAACTGCGAGATGTTGTGGCCGAAACTTTCAGCCGTCACCTGGGAATTGTTCGGACAGGTGTCCGGCTAATTATCGCAGCATCTTTCGCAAAATAAGCGCGTTCCTAGTCCCGCGTTGGTTATCTGTCGACACGCTACAAGGGTATATATGTATACGTATGTCCGTTTTATCACCGCGTGGTGTGAGTTTTAGCTATTGTTTCCTCTTTTTTTTTTTTTTTGTCGTGAGAATTGCAGATATTAGTGTAGGCAGTCTCCTGTTGTAATGGGCCTGTCTGTACAAGAGAGCGAGCTGCGTGCGAGCGTTTATTTCAGAATTCTCTTTATCCTTCTAATTCCGCGCTATCCAGATTATCTATTGAGAACCTTCTCGTAGATACTTACTTTCAGTTCGTCTGCTTCAATATATCCGCTGCCGTCCGTGTCATATTCGCGCCAGATCTGCAAGGAAAAAAAAAAAAATTTTTTGATGAGGGTGCGCACGACAGAACAAAAAGTCCTTAAAGGCCGACTTACAACCTCGGTTTTCTGCAGGGAAGACAATCCTCCTATCGTCCCCCTCTAGTAAACTGCCAAAGGAGCCAAGTTAGGGCAAGGTAGAATGTGGGGAGGGTATAGGAAAGGAGGAGGTGAGCAAAACAGACGAACGCAAATGAAGGAACTAATTTCGACTACCAAGATGGACTATTTAGATGTTTTTTGCCGCCACAACACACAAAGAAGGATATCCATTCCGGGTTTTGATTACAGAAACAGCATCTTGGCACGGGGTGATGTCACGCTTCCTATTGCCACACCTATTCAACCTCGAATTGGCCGATCCATTCCTGACCCCAAACTCAGAGGAGGTTATACAGTACCTACTACAGAATACGTCCACAGTACACTTGGGGTTTTCCCTTGATGTGGAAGATCTTTTTCTCTTCCACATACCAAATTGTTTGCAGCTGTAAATGAGTGCATTGAAGCCAATGGAATTACGTACTTTCATGACAAATGTGGAATTCAGGTGGAATCCTTTCTAGAACTTTTGCGATTCTACCTTTCTGCCACAGTTTTCACGTACAAAGACAGGTCTTACCTACAGAGGAAAGGAATATTGGGTCATGCGTAGCACCAGTTCTCTGTGATATTTTCCTTTCCCAATTTGATTGGGCAATGGCTGATGTACTTTCCATCGGTCAAGTAGCTCGTATTTTTAGGTACTTGGATGACTACCTGGTTCTTCTTTCACGATGATCTATATATAATGAAGCACAAATAATCGACAGTATACGATCAACCTTATTGGAAGAAGGGCGAGGCCTCAAGTGAACTCATCAGTCACCTTTAAACTCCATAGTTACTTTTTTAAGATCTCGAACTGGTGTTCTATGACAATCACACTTGCTGGAAATACTCACCAAGATCCAAAAAAGGCCTGCTGCAATATGACTTGGCACATTCTAAGATCGATAAGAGAGGAATTGTGAGAAACACAATGAAGTGCGGCTTTAATAATTGTGTTGTGCCCATTCAGCGGGAGAGACTTTTCATTCTCAGGTACAGCGTCCCAAGGCGTCTAGATACCCGAGCTCTATCTTGTTTGACGTCGCTAAGTCCATGATTACTTCAAGCGGACGACGAGAGAGCACAAAGGACAAGAACCGCCGGTTAGGAGTGCTGCCATACATCCATCGTATATCTCACAGCCTAAAGAAGAGTCCAGGTTGTATTTTCTGCATCGGACAAACTCAGCGGTTGTGCCCAAGGATAAACAATCACCAGATACAGCTAGCCGAATGTAATGTTCAACATCAACAGAAATACGTTGACTGCTGGTGTGGGGTGGCATACGAGATACCGTTTGCCCGCGGTAAAGTGTATGTTGGACAACCAGGACGATATATCAAGTGTGTCATGTGCGCGCAGGGAGCAGACGAGACAGCGGAGCACTTCATACTGGAATGCACAGGCCTGAAGCCGGACGTTACGTATGAACCAGACATGGCGGTGGCGCTGGGCTTCCGGGGCATTGACGAACAATACGCCGCCGATAGTTCGCAGCCAGTGGAGGTGACGAAGAGGAGACTGGAGTGCTGGTGGAGGAGGGCAAGAGAACACGACTACGACATTGGCTAGTGTAGCTACTATAGCCAGGCTAGATCCAGCGCTGCTGGGATCCCCTGATACAAAGGGGTTAGCCCCAAATCCAAATCCAATCCAAACCGCCTAAGAGAACACGCCCTATCTTTGAAGTCGTCGCCAGCGAGCCGCCTATACTCCGTTCCACCTTCAGTCCGAGCGCAGTGGACTCCACGAGCCATCCCAGCCGATCCAGCGCCGGGAGAAAGTCGCGTGACCTGCCGGTGGGGCGGGGCGACACAGGGAGCTCAAGGTCGCATGACACTCCCTCAACGCCGCATTGGCTGGGATGGCTCCTAGCGTCCGCTGTGCTCGGACAGAAGGTGAAACGGAGTATAGCAATACATGCAAGTGATTGCAAGTGCTCCGCTGAGTTTAGCCACACTAAAATCTTAAAACGTTTCAAGGCTAAGAGATCTCGTGAGCTGTACGAGGCCCAAATCATTTTGTCCATTGGGGATGACTGCGTCAGAGCGCCGTATAAGACGTATTGCCAAATTACCCAAGCATCAAGGAGAATGCTGGGAATGTATACACGCGCTCGCCTTCCCCGTATAAAAAATTCGAACTAAATAACCAAAATAAGCCGTTGACGAACGCGCGTGCAAGATGCCGTTTGTTTTAGGCATTAACTTTAAAATAGTTACTGTTGCAGACGCCAGCACGTGAAGCGCTTGTAACTGCACTCGCAGCATGCTCCTTGGTGCTTAGGTAATTTAGCAAAAGGTTTATTGCCATGACACAAAGATAACTTCATTACCTCAGTCTCATGCTTTGAAGAACTCTGACCTGCTATGACTTTTTAGTTCATAGTCTTCCCGAACTTCATCTTTGTTTATTTTTATCAGCATCCCTGTTTAACGTGTTTCCGTGCATTAAAAAAAAAGAAAAAAAAGATTTCCATTAGTTTTTTTTATTTATTTTTGGTAATGCGTTATTTAGAACTAAGTACCCTTGTGAATTTACCCTTTAATGATGTAAACAGGATTTACTTTACGTATGTTGTTGCTAAGACGTTTATTTAACTAAGGGATAACACCAGGATCACAAGTCCGTTGCGACGCGGTCGCAGCTTTGGCGTGGCGTCTAAGTCCCTGGATGAAAAGGGGGATGAGGGTTACACCGAAGTTTTTAGCTCTCTTTGCGACACAAAGCGAGGAGGTCAGAATTCGTGTCCGGCGCTCGCACTCACCGGGGGGGGGGGGGGGGGGGGGGGGGGGAGGGGGGGGTTGCATTAACACCACTTTGATAAGCATAAGGCCTCCGCACCGTGATCGCACCGTCATCACAGTCAGGTCGACCGAGGCTTGAGATTGGACACGAGTGCTGCGTCAGTGTTCGGCCGGGGCTCGTGTTCAATCAGCGCGTCGAAGGTCGGACTCGGGCCCAATAGCCGAGTTAGCGCGATCCGACTGTGATATTTCATGAAGGTGGAGGAGTCGATGCGGAGGCTTTGATCATTCCGGGTGGTGTTCGGTGCACCCAGTCGTCGTAACAGGTCGGTCGGTCGTCGTCGGGCAGAAGGGATCAGGCTGCGGTGCGGTGCGCTGCCAATGCAGCGCAGTCCCAAATTAAATGATGAAGCTTGGGTAAGGACTCCGGGTCCTTGCAGCGCTGTCAGCTGGGGTCTCTTCGCATGGCGTTTGCGGTTCATGTTGAGAGGAAGTGAACTGGAGTGTTGTGTAAGGTCGATCAGTTCCCAGGGTGGCTTGGCGGGGGGTGGGAGAGGGGAGTTCGTTGTCGGTGGAGGCAGCGACTCCGAGGTAGCGCGCTACCGCGCGGCCTTGAGATGTGTGCTGGAGCCTGGAGGCGGGTGGCATGCAGCTCCATCTGCTTCTATAGGGTGTTTTTGAGATTGATGAGGTGAAGGCATTTCCGAACTACGGCGATGCGCGTGATGCGAGGAAGCCCGAGGATGGTACGGCGGGCTTCGTTAGAGAGGGTATTGAGCTTATCCCAATGTGTGCGCTTGAAGCGATAAAAACGGGCCGCGTAGACGACTTTCGATACGAGGTCTGAGCTGACGAGGAGCTTGACTGTGCGTTCGCCTGCGCCACCCAGCCGATCCGAGATGCGTGGGAATAGGCGGAGGCAGGCACGCAGCCAGGATTTTTTTTCGGGGGGTGGGGGAAGGGGGGGGGGGGGGGCGGCCCGCCCATGACAAAATGCTGTATGAGGTGGAGGGGGGAGAGGAGGTTCCAGCAAATTGGAAGATTTCGGGGGGGGGGGGGGGGGGCCCCATGGCCGCCGCCCCCCCCCCCCCCCCCCCCCTGGCTACGTGCCATGGGCGGAGGCCTTGTTTCCAGGTTTCGATGATTGCCTTGACCCATTCTGTGGTGACGTGTGGGCCATTGCTAAAGTAGACACCCAAGATTTTGATGCTGAGTGCTTTGCTTACGGGTTGATTGTCGAACGTGTGGCGGAGGTCGAGGTTTGCATGTCCCTTGCCGAAGACAGTATACATGGTCTCCTCTGGTGATGGTGCGAGCCCGAGGTGGTGCAGATGGTTGTTGATGGAGCGCGATTCGTTGCGTGAAGGGGCTGCCGTCGAAAGTCCAAATAGTAATGTCGTCGGCGTAAGCCGAGGCGCGGAGGTGTGGGATTTTGTATAATGCCCAGAGAAGGGGGGCCATGACGATGTTAAACAGCGTCGGGGAGTATATCCCGCCTTGGGGTACGCCGACATGGTTCAGCCTCGTATTAATACCCACCGCATCGGGACCGTGTCCTGACTTAACTGGCTGCCATGAAGGAAGGGGCGCACAAAAGCGAGCTGTTTGCCGTCGAGGCCTTGCTTGTACATGGCGGACGGAGACGATCGATGCATGGGGCACGGAGGCAAAGGCTTTTCGAATATCCACCGTGACAAAAAACGCGCAGCTGTGTGCTATTGATGTGACGATCGACGACATCTTTGTATACCATTGCCAAGCTGTCGTGTGTACTGAGGTTCTTACGAAAGCCCGTTTGTGTGGGGTGGAGTATCTTGACCTGTTCCGCCTGCCACGGAATGCGGGCGAGAACCATACGCTTCATGAGCTTGCCTATGATAGATGTGTGCGATATGGGCCGCACGTTCTTAGGGACTGTCGGCGGCTTGCCTGTCTTGGGAATCAGTGTTATCCAGGAGGTCTTCCAGTCGTCAGGGAGCAGCCCTCTGTATGGTCAGATTTAGTTAAACCAACAGAGGTTGGCTTCCTGGGCGATTCGGGGTGCATTACGCAGCATCGGCGCGGTGATCCCGTCGGGGCCGGGCGAGCTTCGGAGGCGACATTGGGAGATGGCCGCATCAAGTTTCCATTCGGTGAAGCGTTGGT